AGGGGGGGAGGGCGGGGAGCGACGCGGGGAGGCCTAAGACAAGACCGTGCTGAGACATGTGACGCAGACGCAGGAGAGCAGGGTGACCTAAGCGGTGGTGCCACAAAAGCGACGGGTGAGTGAGGGACCGACACTAGAAAGCTGCAGCGACGTGGGAGGACGCACCAACCGGGGGGGAAGCGGTGTCGAGGGTAAACAGACCAAACACCGGGTGCAGGGGGAACGTGGCAAGGGGGGAACCTGAGACAGCCTCGGTACAGACAGCGAACGGCTCGTGCCCAGGGAACGTAATGGTGACGCCGAGGTCCTCAAGACAGCCTACACCAACCAGGTTCCTGGAGAACGAGGGAACGTGGAGGCCTGTAAGAGAGCTCGAGGGAACGGCTGGACAGAGAAGGGAAGTGGAGCTGCGAGCGACGACAGGACCAGCAGAGGGGTCGGCGAGTGCGACAACAGCAGGTGCAGCAAGCGGTGCGAGCGTGGAGCGGTCGCGGAAGAAACAGGCAGAAGCACCGGAGTCGAGAGTGAAGGACAGCGAGGCAGTGGCGGAGGCTGGGAATGGAGCCGGTGAAGAACCTAGGCTAGGCAAACTAGGCAGTCCTACGCCTGACACAACAGGGGAGGCTAAGCTACACAAGGGTGAGACACCTAAACTAGAGTACGCAGGGTAATAAGATCCAGCAACACTAGAAGCGCCAGCATACAAAGCATGCAAAGCAGCACCTATCTGATCCATATCTAACTCAAAGATCGGCATGCCCTGGCAAAGCAGGCTGTGCCAATCGGGGAGGTCCGGGGCCGGGCCAAAGTGACGACGAAAGAGATCGTTGAGGCGGCGGAAACAGCGGGCGGTCGGGTGCGGGCGGCGGCACAGAGTGCCGGGAGAGGCCCGGTCTGAAGGTGGTATTGGCAGGTCACAGCACTGGAGTTGCCGGTAGACGCCAAGCTGCGCGGGCCGCCACCACCGACGGAGGTGCCGGGCCGACCCGGCGGGAGACGAGCCCACGGCTGGGGCTGGGACAGCTGCTGTGACGACTGCGACTGCTGCGATGGCTGCTGCGGCTGCTCTCGCTGCTGGGGCGATAGCTGCTGCTCCAGACTAGCTGCGGCAGTCCCCTCAGTAGAGCCACTGTCCCCGGCACCACCACCACTGCCACCGGCTCCACCACCACGCCCTCCCTGGCGGCCACGACCGGCGCGGCGCGAGCGCTGCTGCGGGTGGACCGCAGCAGCAGTCTCGGTCAGAGGGGACCACAGCCAAAACGTCAGTAAATGTGCACTGGGAGGGGGCACAGCCGTGAAAGATAGAGACTGCCGGCGCACCGCTCGACTGAGCGATAGTGCGCTGGCGAGTCTCGATCTCGGTCAGGGCGGTGACAAAGGCTAGCAGGGTGAGATCACCCGGCTGCTGGATAAGGATGTGGTCGCGTGCACTAGCAAGGCAGTCAGGCAGGCGCATAGCGATAAAGTAGAGGGTCATGTAGAGGGGGAGGGGGAGTGCAATGAGCTGGGCAGCAGTGTTAGCAGTGCGGTGGCGAGACTCTAGGGCTCGCAGGTGAGTGACAAGGTCAGCAACAGTAGAGAAGGAAGCAAGGTCTGGGAAAAGCATAGGGAAGAGCAGGCGGCCTGCAGTAGCGGAGGCAAGCGTGGAATAGCGAGCAACAACAGCATCTAAGTAAGCCCTGGCTGTATCAACTGTAGAGAAACGCGAACGCTCAGACACAGGGAGGGCGTGACTGATCGCGACGTGAGCAACTACATCGCGAGAGTCCTAGACGGCACAGGCAAGTACAGCAGCTGAGAAAGCCTCACTCTCAGCAGAGGTGGGGTCAGCAGGGAGGGGAGCAGGCGCAGGGGGGCGGGGGAGCAAGCCATCAGCATGGACAACCAAGGAGTGCCCAACCTGGCGCTGACCTGTGAGTTGACGGCGGAGATCGGACAGCCAGGCGGCGAAGTCAACCGCATGGCCCTCAGCGTCCAGACGGAATACGAAGTCAGCCATCGTGCAGGGTCAGCGACACAGCTCCTCAGCGACACAGGGACACAGCGGTACAGGGACACAGCAGTACAGCTCCAGGAGGACGGCTGCAAGACGCTCCAGTGCGGGAGGACACGGGGCCGGAGTAGCCGGGCGGGCGTAACGGGGCCGGGCTGGTGCTAGGAGGGGCTGAGTAGGCGCTAGGAGGGGCCGGGAGGGCGCTAGGAGGGGCCAGGCAGGCGCTGTGAGCTGGGCGGGCGCGACGGGCCAGGCGGGCGCGACTAGGCCAGGCGGGCGCCTTGAGGCCAGGCGGGCGCGACGGGGCCAGGCGGGCGCGACGGGCCAGGCAGGCGCGACGGAGCCAGGCGGGCGCAATGGGGCCAAGCGGGCGCGACGGGCCAGGCGGTCGCGACAGGGCCAGGCGGGCGCAACGGAGCCAGGCGGGCGCGACGGGGCCAGGCGGGTGCGACGGGGCCAGGCGGGCGCGACGAGGCCAGGCGGGCGCGACGGAGCCAGGGGGGCGCGACAAGGCCAGGCGGGCGCGACGGGACCCGGCGGGCGCGACGGGGCCAGGCGGGCGCGACGGGGCCAGGCGGGCGCGACGGGGCCAGGCGGGCGCGACGGGGCCAAGCGGGCGCGACGGGGCCAAGCGGGCGCGACGGGGCCAGGCGTGCGCGACGGGGCCAGGCGGGCGCAACGGGCCAGATGGGCGCGACGGGGCCAGGCGGTTGCGACGGGGCCAGGCGGGCGCGACAGGGCCAGGCGGGCGCGACGGGCCAAGCGGGGGCGACGGGCCAGGTGGGGGCGACGGGCCGGACGGGCGCGCTAAGGGCCGGGCGGGCTCTACGAGCCGGGCGGGCGCTAGGGCTAGCTAGGGGGCGAGAGGCTAGGGCGCGGGCGGAAGCGGGAGGGTGGACCTAACCTACTCGTGATACCATGTTAGAATGCAAGAATCATTGACATGTATGAGAAACCTATAACATATACGGTATTCTCCCGGATACAGTACCCTAGGGAGCTAATTAAAAATCATGAAAATTTAGGGGTGGGTGGAATTAAAGGCAAAAAACATATAAGACTATGGTTTTAAGGAACATGCATATGCATTTTTCGATTCCAAAATAGTTGTGCATGTTACACCACTTTGTTTTGTGTCACATATCAACATCTCGTGTCCTCATCGCGTACCTTACAATGTGGCCCTTCCGCTTGCCACATCGTCAGCTAAACAAGGACGAGGCTGGCAAAGCATCAAATCAATGAGTGCTACAGGCCTCGTCCTTGCTGCCTCCAATCAGTGGGCGGCAGCGGAGGTTTGTTTTGGCGGGAGGGCGCGAGAGTCGAGAATGAACAGTTAGGATTTCGAAGTTTCAAGATTTTTTTTTTCATTTAGGACACATTCAGGTTGACCACCAGCTCATTTCCCCCACTCGCCCTCACATTTACGCATGCAACTATGCACGGCAAATTCTGTTGTTCCCTGTCGTAACAAGGATCCTAGGTGGCGGGGGGTGTTCAATTGTTTTCAAGCCCAAAAGTAGGGTGGTAACTGTCAGAAACTAGCTTAGCTAGGAAGCCATAGAATGGCACAAGGTTTAGCTAGGAGCTAGGAGGAGCCATGAGAATGGCGAGAGGTTTTAGGTGCTAGGAAAGTTGAGGAGAGGAAAAGATATTGGATTAGAAGAGAGGGGAGTACAAGGAGGGGTTTGTACCCCCTACAGAAAGGTTCAGTAACAACCTACCAAGCCTATATAAATTATAACTTATATAATTTTAACACACCCCCTAGGCTTGGTAGTCACACACCCACACACACCCACACCCCCTAACCTAGCACCCCCATTCCAGCCACAGTGACAGCGACTCTAGGTCGGTCGACCCCACGGCGCGTGAGGCGGCGACGTCGACCGCAGGGGCTGCGGCGGCGACGGCGGCAGCGGCGGCAGTGTCGACAGCGGCGGCGGCGGCGGCGTACGGCTGCGTGGCCCCGACGCAAGCGGCGACAGCGGCGGCGGCGGCGGCTTCGACAACAGCGGCAGCGGCGGCGGCACCCGCACCTCTCGGTGACGTGGCCTGGCCCCGCGACTGTGGGACGGCCGGCGGGAGTCAGCCGTCGTCTGCGGAATGGAAGAGGGCGCAGGGGAAGGAGGGGGGGTGGGGGGGGGGGGGCGGCGCCACAGGCTGACATGCGGGCGGCCGGTCTAGCGGCGCCACAAGCGTCACGCGGCCGGCTGCAGCCCGACGACGCCGTCATGGAGCGGCGTCGATGCCGCAGCGGGGCGTCGACGCTGCGACGGCAGCACGACGTCGCTGGTACGCCGACTGCGCGCTGTCGCGTAGACGCCGCGGCAGCGTGACGGCGCCGTCACGTCGCGACAGCAACTTGACGCGACGGCGGAGCTGCGGCACGACGGCGCGGCCACAGCAGCTGGACGCGGGCGCCATGGACGTCGACAGCGGCGCCGCGGCACGACGACGCGGCCACAGCAGCTTGACGCGGCCGCCATGGCAGCGCGAGATAGAGAGAGAAACGAGCACGCAGCGGAAACGCGAGGAGCAGGCCCACACGGAACGAACTGCTCTAATACCATGTCAGAAACTAGCTTAGCTAGGAAGCCATAGAATGGCACAAGGTTTAGCTAGGAGCTAGGAGGAGCCATGAGAATGGCGAGAGGTTTTAGGTGCTAGGAAAGTTGAGGAGAGGAAAAGATATTGGATTAGAAGAGAGGGGAGTACAAGGAGGGGTTTGTACCCCCTACAGAAAGGTTCAGTAACAACCTACCAAGCCTATATAAATTATAACTTATATAATTTTAACAGTAACTAGATCCTGTTTAATTAAACACCCTTACCCGCTTAAGCCACCCATGGGCGCTTAATTCTGGCGGGTTCTGTATCCGGGAGATTACTGTACCAGTTGGTGTTGTACTCACTAGAAGCACACACCTAGGCTAGCCTATAACTTCTACATACAACATATGTATAAGTTGACAGGCGCGGCACGGCGGGCGACTCTGTTTTAGGCTGGAAAAGGCTGATGATTCAGGGTGACCAAAACAAGAACATACAATATTTCAGGCCTGCTCAAATGAGAACCCCTAAAAATCAGGCCTAGGGAAAATCAAAAGCTGGAAAATTAGGACGACCCTAAAAAAACACCCTGCTATACAGACTTCAGGGCATTTTGTCCCGACTTCTGAAGCCCTGTTTCGGGCATATGGGCCCCCACCTGCACCACCTACCTAAGGTACGGGTAAGCCAAGCCAACCACCATACCCCACACTTGGACCACTTGACTTGAGTCAAGTGCAGTGACCTGCCCTATCCTCCCTTGCGTCTCATCGCATTAGCTCGCGCAAATACCTTCCTAGAAATATCCGTTAAAATCTTCTGCACGCCCTTGGGATCCTTCGCAACCAGAGCCCCTTCAATCGGCTTCCCCGCCCACCCGCCTGCCGCACTTCCCACCGCCTTCCCCCCCTCACAAAACGCCAAATAATACTCGATCTCGCACACATCCGCCAGCTGGTGAAAAACCACATCCGGATTCTCCACTGGGCGGATCTCAAGCACAGCCGTGCCAGGCGGCATGAAGACAATATCGGCCAGGATATTATCGTGCACTGATACCATGAAGAGCGCGCGGTTGAGGAGGTCCTTGCGGCGCGGGAGGGAGATGGAGCCCTCGCGGTAGATGACGACGCGCTCGGGGGGGAAGAGGCGGGTGAGGTGCTCGTGGATCTTGAGGCTCTGTAAAAGAGAGGCGCGCTGCTCCTTCCACCCGAGGAGGACCACCCAGTTGCTGCCAGGGGCGTACGAGTGAGGTGTGTAGGGCGGGGTGGAAGATCCTATGAACCTGGACGTCCAATCTGAGAAGAGGAAGCATGGGGGATGGGGAGGAACGCATAGAAAGGTTGAGGGATAGGATACTGAAAGAGGTGGGTGAGATGCTCGTGGATCTTGAGGCTCTGGAGGAGGGAGGCGCGCTGCTCCTTCCACCCGAGTAGGACTACCCAGTTGCTGCCCGGGGCGTACGAGTGAGGTGTGTAGGGTGGGGTGGATGATCCATTGAGCCTGGATGGGGAGGCATGGGGGACCAGGGGTGAGGTGTGGAGGGAGAGAGCATTCAGCAGAAGAGGAAGACAGGGCACATAAGTTGCTTTCAAGGGGGATGAGGCGAGTGAGATGCTTGTGAATTTTGAGGCGCAGGAGGAGGAACGCGCGCTGCTCCTTCCACCCTGGGAGCACCACCCAGTTGCTGCCGGGGGTGTAGGCGTGTGGCGTGTAGGGCGGCGTGGCAGATCCGTTGCACGTGGACGTGCAGTCTGGGGGAGCGGATGATGGATGTGGAGGAGGGGCAAAGGAAGCTTCATCTGCAGTTACTGTGCTCAAGACGTTCCATGGGGCAATTGAACGATTAGAACGGGATTGCTCTGAGGGAAAGACACGAGTGTTGAAGTGTAGGCAGCGTGGTGTACTGTTACGTTACAGGACAAACACTTCACCCTCATACCTTAAATCTTAAACCCCAAAAACCTCAACCCAACCCAACTCCACCTTCCCCCTTGCCCCAGTCACCCCAGAAGCAGCAGCTGTCATGGTTACAAGCCACCGCACTCCACCACACCCAACCCATTTATCAAAGAAAGAACTCCCCCACTCACCCCAGAAGCAGCACGTGTCATGCCCAAAAGTCCCCTCACCCCCCCCTCCATCTCCCCCCCACCCCCCCTTTCAGCGGCGAAGGCACTTCCCCAATGTGTTCCCCCGTCGCACTCCCCTGTTTCATTCCCCCCTCACCCGCCCTGCTCTCACCCGCCCTGCTCTCACCCGCCCTGCTCTCACCCGCCCTGCTCTCACCCGCCCTGCTCTCACCCGCCCTGCTCTCACCCGCCCTGCTCTCACCCGCCCCACTCTCACCCGCCCTGCTCTCATCCGCCCTACTCTCACCCGCCCTGCTCTCACCCGCCCCACTCTCACCCGTCCTGCTCTCATCCACCCTGCTCTCACCCGCCCCACTCTCACCCGCCCTGCTCTCATCCGCCCTGCTCTCACCCGCCCCACTCTCACCCGCCCCACTCTCACCCGCCCTGCTCTCATCCGCCCTACTCTCACCCGCCCTGCTCTCACCCGCCCTGCTCTCACCCGCATTGAAGATGGGCAGCCCCCCGGGCGGCAGCAGGTGTCTCATGCGCAGATAGTGCCAGAGAGAGCGACTGGGCTCCCCGCACCGCTGGTGCAGAGGCTGGAGGAGAGGGAGGGGAGAGGGGAGAGGGCAGGGGAGAGGGGAAAGGGCAGGGGAGAGGACAGGGGAGAGGACAGGGGAGAGGGGAGAGCAGGGAAGAGGGCAGGGGAGAGGGGAGAGCAGGGAAGAGGGCAGGGGAGAGCAGGGAAGAGGGCAGGGGAGAGGGCAGGGGAGTGAACCGGAGGGAGAACAGAGGAGACAATAGGGGAGAGAATAGGGGAGAGAATAGGGGAGACGGAAGGCAGAGTTCAACAGGTGTGAAGAGAGTACAGAGGGTTTGTGGCAGACGGTTCATGCACAAGCGCCCCCCCACAGCTGGTGCAGACGCTGGGGAAGGGAGGCCAAGGAGGAAAGGGAGGTACAGTCGGGTACAGAGGGGTGTAACTGGGTGGGTATAGATCGTCAGAACGAGCCCCTCTTCCCCCCCATTACCCACCAGAACGCGGTTCCCAGCAAGCACAGCTCGTTTGGCCTTCACCACGTGCTCGTTTGCTCGTTCAGTGGATCCAGACACCCCAGCACTCCCAGCACTTGCAGCACCCCCTCTCTTACATCCCACTCACCAGAACGAGCTTCTCCGCGTAGAAGAGCTCATTGGCCTTGATGACATGCACGTTCATCCTGTCAATCTCCACCCCCAGCACCTCCACGGCCCCCAGCGTCTTGAGCTGCTCCATCGCGTGCCGCACATGGGGCCTTCGATGCCCCACCGCCACCGGCACGCCCCTCATGGCGGGCAGCACGCGCTGCAGCGACACGAACAGTGGGATGAGGTCCAGCAGCATGGCGCGCGTGGACCACGCGAACCAGTCCACCACGGAGACGAGCTCTCGGAAGCGCGTGACGCGGGTCTTGTTGGCGGTGTAGCGGAAGGGGAGAGAGACGGTGATGTTGGGGCTGCCGGCACATGCGTTGTGGTCGAAGATGTGGGTGCTGTTGAAGACTTGACCTGCCACGTTGATGTAGACATTCCTCAGCACCAGCACCTGCGGGGGTGGGGAGTTGGAGTAGTGGGAGGGGAGAGAGACGGTGACGCCTGGGCAGCCGGCGCACGTGTTGTGGTTGAAGATGTGGGTGCTGTTGAAGACTTGACCTGCCACGTTGATGTAGACGGTCCTCAGCACCAGCACCTACAGTGGTGGTGGGTCGTGGGGTATAGGGTGAGAAGGGGAGAGAGGGGAAAAACAAAGCGATGAGGTGGAGCAGCATGGCGCGGGTGGACCATGCAAACCAGTCCACCATGGAGTCGAGCTCGCGGAAGCGCGTACGGTGATGTTGGGGCTGCCGGCGGCACGTGCATTTTGGTGAAAAATGGGGGTCGATTTGAAGACTTGACCTGCCACGTTGATGTGAACACTCCTCACCATCAGCACCTGCATTGGGTGGAAGGGTGGGGATGCGGGGAAGGGGTAGCGAGAAGAAAGGGACATGGGAGCAAGAGGAAGAGCGCTTGTTGAAAGTGTAGCGAAAGGGCAGGGAGACGGAGATGCTGGGGTTGCTGCCACACGCGTTGTGGTCGACGATATGGCGGCAGGACAGGAACTCTGGCGCTTGTAGGGCAAATTATGTTGAGGTAACTAGTTTCAGCAGGTGGCTGGCCTCATCAAGTCCGCAATCCCCTCCTCCCAGCACGACCCAATCCCCCCCCCGAAACAGCTCAAACCCAAGCTCAAACACCGGAGAGGGTGGGTCCTCCAGCCACGTCTACCCCCCCTCCCCCATTTTTCACCCCTTCGTTCACCCACCTGAGCGGACCACTTGTTGTGCGGCAGCAGGTCGGACATTTCTATACACTCCAAATCCAGCCCCTTGCAGTTCACTCCAACCACCTATATCCCCCCTCTCCCCACTCTTTCCCCCACCCACCTGAGCGGACCACTTGTTGTGGGGTAGCAGGTCGTTCTTCTGTATGCACGCCAGGTCCACGCCCTTGCAGTTCACAGGCGGTTTGGTCGCCGCCCTTCTCTCGTCCGCAATCCCCTCCTCCCAGCACGACCCGATGCCTGGAAACCGCTCAAACCCGAACTCAAACACGGGGCAGGGAGGGCCCCTGGACGCCTTGGGGGGCTCTAGGCCGGCTTTGGAGGCACTTAATTGTGCCTCTTCGTTGTAACGGATCGCGTCTAAGAGGACCGGGTAGAGCTCCGGTTGGGAGATGTTGGTCTGCAGCCGAGCCTTGGAGGGCGGGATCCACGACAGCACGAAGCTGCCGTTGATTGGCCCCCACCGCGCCGCCGCCGAACCTGGCTGCGAGGCTCGGGGTTTGGCCGGTTTTGGAGGGTTGGGTGATGATGATGCTGAGCGGCCAGTGCTGGAGCTGCTGCTACTGCTGCTGCTGCTGCTACTACTATCACTACTGCTACTGCTGCTGACGTCAGTGCTGTCGTCATAGCCACTGGTACTCTTGAGGCTGCTTCGCATGGCCACCACTTCAGGGCCAGACTGCCACTCCTGCTGCTGATGCTCTTCATTCTCATCCCTCCCCACCGTTTCTCCACTCCTCGCGTCCTCGTTATAAGCCTGGCTCCCTCCTCTGCCCTCTGCTTCCCTCGCTGCAAACGTGCCAGCTGTCGCTCCTGGTAGGTCCACGTGGAGCAATCTGGGATCGCCACCTAAGCTGCCACCCGAGGCTCCTCCAATCTGACCACCTGCACCAAATTTTCCTCCCTCCCCTGTTGGTAACCCTCTAAACCCTAACCCCCCCGCCCCCATTGCTCCTCCCCCAATCCCCCTAACCCCCCCCATTCCGACCCCCCCACCTCCTGGCCGTTGATCCACATAGTTTCTCGCCGCTGATCCTTCATAATAGTCACGACTACTACCGTAGCCTCCTCTCCCGTTATAATCACGGCTCTGCAGCGTCCCCCCCTCCCCTGATCCCCATGGGCCCGTCCCCCACGAATTCCCCCCTCTTCTGTGGCCGTTACCGAGGGATGCTTCTAACGGGTAAGGGGGAGCTCTGAGAAAGGACCTGTGGTTCAGCATCCATACTAGGAACGCGGCGCCTCCTATCAGTAGTAGAAGCCGCGTGGTGCTGCTTCCGCCGCCAAACGCGCCGCTGAATCCGTCACCGATCGTTCCGCCTACTCTTTTCCGAATCGGAGCGCGCTTCTTAACCTTTATTGCCATGGCGGAAAACAGGAATCAGTGAAGCGACGCGTTCCTAGAGAGTGCTTTCGAGAGGCAGCCAATCACGAATTGACGAAAGGGACAGGCGCCGAAGCAACGAATGGGTTGAACACGGGATGATGATATTGCCGGTACTGAGTCAGTAAGCTGCTTCAGAACCTCTAAGCCTACTAAAAAATAGCCTCTAAGCTTCAGAACCTCTAAGCTTCAGAGTCTAAGTCTAGGGTATCTTTCGAGTCAGTAAGTCAGTAGCATATCTAAGCCTACTAAAAAATAGCCGGTACAGAATCAGTAGGCTGCTTCAGACCCTCAAAGGTCTGAGTCTAGCGGCTCGTGGTCACGTTTTTAAGAATTCTCAAAAACAAAACACATCGTGGTCACGAGGCCGCGTGAGGAAAGGACCGTTGGCTCATCTCGTCCAATCCCCGTGTCACGCAGTGACCGTATTTGGCGGGCAATTGGTCATTGGCCAGTGGACTCTACAGCGCGAATCTCTTTACGTGGATTCCACGTTGACCTGTGCTGGTGCGCAACGAAACGATCGGGCTGATTAGCGAAACGATCATGGCGCCAGCTAGCGTATGACCCCAACTGCTTTGGGAAGATCACGTCACGTGCAGTACGGCACTACGGATGCTACTCTCAGGATGGCGGCACTGGCTGAAGCGAATTTCGCCTCGCTCTGAATTCGATGGTTTACGACGAATCGAATTACTACGGGCGTGTCATTACTGCGCTGCGTGAGCGTACTACTGCGTGCAATGCCGTCAGTCGAGACACGCAATGCCGATCGCTCTAGCCGTCGTAGACATACACGGGCTAACGGTGCTGGAGGCCGTCATTAACACACTCAATGAGGCGGGAAAAAAAACAAGAGGCGACGAGATCGTCTTAGGGTTGCGGAGCATTTCATTATGAGACTTTATTATACATAAAATGTTTTATTTCCATATCACAGCAAACATTTGATTTTTATTTCACAAACTTAAAAAAAAAACCAGCCCGATCGATTGCAATAGGTTGCTCCGCAACCCAAAAAGGGGAAAACGGGGAAAAAATAATCAGAACCTAGAAAATGTCCTCGTGACAGCTCTACTGCGCCGGTAGAAACCCGGAATTCACGGACTCGACGGGACTCGAGGGGGGAAGATGTCGGTGTTCACCAGGCTGGTGGTAGGTGTAATTTCCTCGCTTTAGTCGATCCGTTACAGATCATGCTTGCGAATTGTCCACATGCGATCAGTCAACATGACAACATAAACACTCGTATTTGACAGAATTTACAATTCAAGGCACCATTAACAAGTATTGATTGGCAGTAATGAAGAGGTAGCACAATCAGTGTTCATGCAACCAATTACAAAGGGAAACAAACTTTACACTACTGGATAACGCGATGATCGCAAACCTCAACTCCGAGAAATCTACCAGTATGCAACAAGCCAAGCCCCCCCAACACCTTGATTCCAAACCAGCTCGTGCTGCTCGCAACTCAACTGCACTTCAGAAGTGCTCGAATCGAACTTGTATTGCCGAAACGCATCCGCTCCGTGCTCCTCATACTTGACTGGGGTCATTTTTTTACAATGCCCGAAAATCACTTCAGAAGTACTCAAACTTGTATCGTCGAAATGCATCCGCTCCGCGCTCCTCATACTCCTTCCTACTCACAGCCTGCCGCAGCAGCCTCCTCCCATCCCCTGCCATGGCTGCCGCCCCCCTCCAAGCGTCCCAAAAAACATCCCGTGCCTCCACAATCTTTATCTCACTGCCCAGAGGCAGCACCTGCCGGTACTCCGCCTCCAGCCTGCCCGTCATTCCAGGCAGCAAGGTATCTCCTCCGGTCAGGAAAAGAATGCTTGGCAAAACATTTCCGGTGCCCGAGCCACCATCGGCGAAGTCCCTGGCACTGCTACCCCTCGTTCTAGAATACAACGGAACCAATCTGCTTCTTAGCTCCTCCGGTGTTCTCCTCACTGCTGCACCCAAAGATTCGCCCAAGCCTGCCCGGTCCAGCCCAATCAGAGACGGCTCGAAAAGTATTTCGGCTGCCCGAACACGCTCCACACCAAGCCGGATCTGGTAGTCTGCATCGGTGGGCTGCCGAACCAAAGAGGTAGGTCCGGGAAGGCTGGTACCAGCGCCCGGAGCAGCAGCTGAGGCAGGTGTGGCGCTGATGGAGGCTAGGAAGGCTGGGTCTACCTCCTGCGAGAGGGGAGAGGTGGGATATGAGAGAGGTGGGACAAGGGTGTGAGAGGGGACAAGGGTGTGAGAGGGGACAAGGGTGTGAGAGGGGACAAGGGTGTGAGAGGGGACAAGGGTGTGAGAGGGGACAAGGGTGTGAGAGGGGACAAGGGTGTGAGAGGGGACAAGGGTGTGAGAGGGGACAAGGGTGTGAGAGGGTGAGTGAGGGACGAGCATGAGGGCAGAAATTAGCGCCAGTCTGCCTCTCACCTGCAGTCTGCATCTCACCTGCAGTCTGCCCCTCACCTGCTGTCTGCCTCTCACCTGCAGTCTGCCTCTCACCTGCAGTCTGCCTCTCACCTGCAGTCTGCCTCTCACCTGCAGTCTGCCTCTCGCCTGCAGTCTGCCTCTCACCTGCAGTCTGCCTCTCGCCTGCAGTCTGCCTCTCACCTGCAGTCTGCCTCTCACCTGCAGTCTGCCTCTCGCCTGCAGTCTGCCTCTCACCTGCAGTCTGCCTCTCACCTGCAGTCTGCCTCTCACCTGCAGTCTGCCTCTCACCTGCAGTCTGCCTCTCGCCTGCAGTCTGCCTCTCACCTGCAGTCTGCCTCTCACCTGCAGTCTGCCCCTCACCTGCAGTCTGCCTCTCACCTGCAGTCTGCCTCTCACCTGCAGTCTGCCTCTCACCTGCAGTCTGCCTCTCACCTGCAGTCTGCCTCTCACCTGCAGTCTGCCTCTCACCTGCAGTCTGCCTCTCACCTGCAGTCTGCCTCTCACCTGCAGTCTGCCTCTCACCTGCAGTCTGCCTCTCACCTGCAGTCTGCCTCTCACCTGCAGTCTGCCTCTCACCTGCAGTCTGCCTCTCACCTGCAGTCTGCCTCTCACCTGCAGTCTGCCTCTCACCTGCAGTCTGCCTCTCACCTGCAGTCTGCCTCTCACCTGCAGTCTGCCTCTCACCTGCAGTCTGCCTCTCACCTGCAGTCTGCCTCTCACCTGCAGTCTGCCTCTCACCTGCAGTCTGCCTCTCACCTGCAGTCTGCCTCTCACCTGCAGTCTGCCTCTCACCTGCAGTCTGCCTCTCACCTGCAGTCTGCCTCTCACCTGCAGTCTGCCTCTCACCTGCAGTCTGCCTCTCACCTGCAGTCTGCCTCTCACCTGCAGTCTGCCTCTCACCTGCAGTCTGCCTCTCACCTGCAGTCTGCCTCTCACCTGCAGTCTGCCTCTCACCTGCAGTCTGCCTCTCACCTGCAGTCTGCCTCTCACCTGCAGTCTGCCTCTCACCTGCAGTCTGCCTCTCACCTGCAGTCTGCCTTGCAGTCTGCCTCTCACCTGCAGTCTGCCTCTCACCTGCAGTCTGCCTCTCACCTGCAGTCTGCCTCTCACCTGCAGTCTGCCTCTCACCTGCAGTCTGCCTCTCACCTGCAGTCTGCCTCTCACCTGCGGTCTGCCTCTCACCTGCAGTCTGCCTCTCACCTGCAGTCTGCCTCTCACCTGCAGTCTGCCTCTCACCTGCAGTCTGCCTCTCACCTGCAGTCTGCCTCTCACCTGCAGTCTGCCTCTCACCTGCAGTCTGCCTCTCACCTGCAGTCTGCCTCTCACCTGCAGTCTGCCTCTCACCTGCAGTCTGCCTCTCACCTGCAGTCTGCCTCCCACCTGCAGTCTGCCTCTCACCTGCAGTCTGCCTCTCACCTGCAGTCTGCCTCTCACCTGCAGTCTGCCTCTCACCTGCAGTCTGCCTCTCACCTGCAGTCTGCCTCTCACCTGCAGTCTGCCTCTCACCTGCAGTCTGCCTCTCACCTGCAGTCTGCCTCTCACCTGCAGTCTGCCTCTCACCTGCAGTCTGCCTCTCACCTGCAGTCTGCCTCTCACCTGCAGTCTGCCTCTCACCTGCAGTCTGCCTCTCACCTGCAGTCTGCCTCTCACCTGCAGTCTGCCTCTCGCCTGCAGTCTGCCTCTCGCCTGCAGTCTGCCTCTCGCCTGCAGTCTGCCTCTCACCTGCAGTCTGCCTCTCACCTGCAGTCTGCCTCTCACCTGCAGTCTGCCTCTCACCTGCAGTCTGCCTCTCTCCTGCAGTTTGCCTCTCACCTGCAGTCTGCCTCTCTCCTGCAGTCTGCCTCTCACCTGCAGTCTGCCTCTCACCTGCAGTCTGCCTCTCACCTGCAGTCTGCCTCTCACCTGCAGTCTGCCTTGAAGGAATTAGCTTGGAAGAGAAAAGATTGAATTGAGTAGGGAGCCAAGAGGCTCTTTTGTACAAAACAAGGAGCAAGAAAGAGTTGGAAAGGAAGCTCTCCTATTGGCCATAAAGTGGACCAATGGGAGAGGTTGCTTGTAGGGCAAGCAACCACAAAGTGTGGTGCTTTCCGATTGGCCACAATGTGGACCAATGAGAGAGATTGCTTGGAAGGCAAGCAACCACAAAGTGTGGTGCTTGGTGATTGGTTGGTTCCTAGGACCAAGGACCATTTGGTTGGAATAGTGCCAACCAAATGTCTAGGACCAAATCCAATCTTGACCAACCCAAATGTGGGGTTGGTCAACCCAACCAACAACCCCCAATAATTAGAATGACTACACCTCCTAATCTAGGCATGCATGTTGTATAGATATATATTTTACAACACAACCCCCCAACATGCATAAGACTAGAGGGCTTGAATCAGGAGGCGGACGAGGGAACGGGGGGAGCGAGTCCAAGAAGGCGAAGGAGGGACGAGTGGGCGGCGTGGGGGGGGGCTTTGGTGAAGATGTCAGCAAGATTGGCAGCAGAGTCAATCTTGCCCAGCCGGAGGTGGCCACCTTGCACAAGCTCACGAATGAAGTAGTGGCGAAGCTCAATGTGCTTGGAGCGCCCGTGGAACACGGCATCCTTCGTGAGGTGGATGGTGCTGGCGTTGTCGCACCAGATGGTGGGACAGCGCTGAGGGGCACCAAGCTCCTCAAGAAGGAAGGAGAGCCAGCGGGCCTCCTGCGCAGCCATGGTAGCGGCATACAGCTCTGCTTCGCAGGAGGAGAGGGCAATGGAGGAGGAGCGGGTGGAGCGCCAGCTGATGAGGCCACTGCCAAGAGAGAAGCCATAGCCCTGAGAGGAGCGGCGGTCAGGCCTAGAGTCAGCCCAGGAGGAATCAGAGTAGCCAGTAAGGAGGGGAGGGGAGGGGCCGCCAAGGGTAAGGACGTAGTCCTTGGTCCCCCGAAGGTAGCGGAGGACACGCTTGGCCGCTTGCCAGTGGGCGGCATCATGCTTGCCGGTACCAACGAAGCGGGCCAAAACGCTGATGGGGTATGCCAGGTCAGGGCGGGTGGAGACCATGGCATACATGAGAAAGCCGATGAGCTCAGCGTAGGGGTGGGAGGAGGAGGAGGGGGAGGTGAGGGGAGTGAGGTGGTGCCCAACAGGAAGAGGGGTGACCTGAGGGGTGCCTCGAGCCATGTCGAACCGCTCCAAGACCTGCTGCAGGTAGTGGCCTTGGGAGAGGGAGATGGTGCGAGCAGCACGGTCGCGGGTAATCTCCATGCCGAGATAGTGCTGCAGCTCCCCTAGATCCTTACACTTGAGCCGGCTGCCAAGCTGACGCTTGACGCGCTCGAGCTCGGCGGAGTCGGCAGTGATGAGGATCATATCGTCGACATAGACGAGGATGTAGAAGGGGGAGGGGGAGGTGCGGAGGAAGAGGCTGGGGTCGGCACGGGAGGTGCTGAAGCCAAGCTCGGCGAGGGTGGCAGCAAGCTTGGCATGCCACTCCCTTGGTGCCTGCTTGAGCCCATAGACCGGCCGACGCAGCTGCCAGACAGAGTCGGACGGAAAGGGGAGATGGAAGCCGGCAGGACGCTCCATGTAAATGAGCTCGCGCAAGACCCCTTGGAGGAATGCGTTGGAGACATCCATGGAGTGAATCTCCATGTTGAGGCGAGCGGCGAGGTCGAGGACTGCGCGAATGGTAGCGGGCTTGGCGGTGGGAGAGAAGGTGTCGAAGAAGTCGACAGCGTAGCGCTGGGTGAAGCCCTTGGCGACGTAGCGGGCCTTGTAGACTGGCGGCTCGCCAGGAAGCTGCTTCACCCGAAACACCCACTTCCCTTTGACCACGTTCGTGGTAGAGGGAGGGCGTGGCACATCCACAAAGGAGGAGTTGGCAATAAACGCCTCCAACTCCTTGAGGATGGCCGCGAGCCAGAGGTGAGCGTCAGGGCACACCATGGTCTCCTCGTACGTAGCGGGGACGAAGATGGTGGGGGCGGAGGAGAAGGCGAAGACTGGTGTGCCGCTGAGGTCAGGGGAGATGGGTAGGAGGGCTGGATCATGCAGGTGGAGGTTGAGGATCTCCTCATGGGAGTCCTCGAGGAGGGAGGAGTGGAAAATGAATGGGAGGACTGCAGCTGCTGATGCTGCCGCTGCTGCTGCTGCTGCTGCTGAGGATGCATCTGCTGCTGCTGCTGCTGAGGCGGCTGCTACTGCTGCATCTGCTGCCGCCACTGCTGCTGCTGCGGGTGAAGGCGAGGAAGGAGCGACGGCTGCTGCTGCTGGTGCTGCTGCGGTGGGTGGAACTGCTGCTGCAGCTGTTGCTGCTGCTGGTGGGGCTGCTGTACTGGAGCTCGACGGCAGGGTTGGGCTAGTGTTTTGTTGTAAGACTGTCTGAAAAAGGAGGTCCATGAGAGGGGAGAGAGGAGGCAAGGGAGAGGAAGAGAGGATAACAGGAGGCGGGGCACCTAGGACTGCGTCACGCGACCTGGTGTGGGGATACCGGGTAAGGATGGAGCGGGTGGGACGCAAGGGGGGAGGGGGACGTGGGGGGGAGGGGGGAGGATGGGAGGGAGCGGAGGGGGAGGAGTGGGACGAGGAGGCGGGGGGAAAAAAAGGGTCAGGGTCAAATATGTCACCAGAGGAGGGGGGAGCACTAGGGACCGAGGCGGCGGGGAATGGAGGAGGTGGAGCAGGAGGGAGGATGGGAGGGGGAGGGAGAAGAGGGGGTGGGATAGTGTCGGACCAGTTGAGGGGCCTGGGAGCAGGGGCGAGAGGGTCAGTGGGGGGAGGAGTGGAATAGTAGGGTGTGGACTCATCAAAGACTACATCCCGACTGCGGAGGAAACGACCTGAGGGGGGGTGAAGGAAGAGGTAGTCCGGGGAGGAGGGATTATGACCAAGGAAGATGCAGGGGAGAGTACGGGAGGCGAGCTTTCCCATGGTGCGGGGGCGGTCCGCAGGGTGAATGAGGACATACGCCCTGGAGCCCCACACACGGAGGGAGGAGACGTCAGGCTTGGCCGACGTCCAGAGCTCGGTGGGAGTGGTGGAGGGAAGGATAGGGTGGGGGTACAGGTTAGTAAGGAGGGTGGCGTGAAGGAGGGCATAGCCCCACAGAGAAGGGGGGCAAGAGGCATGGACGAGGAGGCACCGAGCAATCTTGGTGATCTCCCGAACACGGCTCTCGGCCACACCATTCTGCTGGGGGGAGTGGGGGAGGGTGTGAGTCTGGCGAATGCCATGAAGCTCACAGTAGGAGGCTACCTGACGATTAAGGAATTCACCACCGCCATCAGAGTGAAGGCGGCGCACAGGGCGGCCAAAGTGGGTGCTCGCCTGCTTGAGCCAGGCGATGATCGCAGCCGAAGCATCACCCTTCGAGCGAAGAAGGGAGACGGACGAATATCGGCTGTGATCATCGACTAGAACAAGCATGTAGCGATGGCCCTGGCGGGAAGGGGAGGGGTTGGGGCCCCAGAGGTCCATGTGAACAAGATCAAGCGGCTGAGCAGCAGCGGAGGGGGAACTCCGATGCGGCAGCTGCTTGAGCTTGCTCTGGACACAGACGGAGCAGGGTGGGGCAAGGGAGGGAGGGAGGGGAGGGAGGGTGAGGGGAAGACCTCGAAGGAGACCTGAGGAGACGGTCGAGCGGAGGGTGGCAAAGTTGGGGTGACCAAGCCTGTGGTGGAGGAGGACGGTGGGATGGGAGAGGGATCGACAGGAGCAGGTTGGGTCAGGGGGGAGGGGGGAATGGTTGGGTTAGAAGGAGGGAGAGGAGGGGGAGGGATGTGAGGTGGGGGGAGGGAGCGGGAGACTGCCTGGGCAGAGGAAAGACGAGGAACTCGAAGGGTATATAGGCGGGAGAGAGGACAAAAGGGAATACGGGAGAGGAGGCGACCTGTGGGATGGTATAGGAGGCAGTGATTAGCGCGACCTGGGAAGACGGTGGTGATACCGGCCTGCTGCAGGGATCGCTGGGAGAGGAGGTTAGTACGGAGGGAGGGGATGTGTAAACCAGTGACGGTACCTGAGGGGAAGAGGGGACAGGGGAGGGTAGAGGTGTGGCGACAGGGAATAGAGAAGCTGGAATCGGCACCAAGGAGGGAGGTGGGGGCTGGGAGAGGGTGAAGGGTACCAGCATCACGAAGGACGGACTCAGTGGCTCCACTGTCAAGGACAAAGTCCAGCGTGGTGGAGGAGGGAGGATGTGGGGGAGGAGGTGGGACGGAGTACTGAATCACATTCTCATTAATAGCAGCCGAATACATAGAAGGGGCGGGGGTTCCAGCCTGGCTAACCATGCCAACAAAACCAGAGGAGGGGAAAGGAGTCACACTGCCTGTGGCTGAGGGCGCGGGAGACGCGCCCGAGAGGTGAGCTGCGGAAGCGGCGGTGCCGGCGGTCCAAGCGGGGTAGGGCTGCTGGGGGGGAGCCATAGGAGGAGGTGCAAGGGGGAGCTGCGACTGGAGGTCAAGCTGCTGCTGGAGCTGCTGGAGCTGCTGCTGCAACTGGGAGAAGAGGTGCTGCTGCCCCTGCTGCTGCTGCTGCTGGAACTGCTGCTGCTGCTGCTGAAACGGCTGCGGCAGGATCTGCTGCGGAGTATGCTGCTGCTGCTGATGCTGAGAGACGGCCTGGTGGGCCAAGGGGGAGGAGACGGGCTGAAAAAGAGGGGAGGTACGAACTTCCTGAGGAGTGGGGCGAGGAGAGAGGGAGGACCAGCGGGGGGGGGTGCCGGTGTTGCCGCGGGCAAACCACTCATCACTGAGCGCTTTGAAGCAAGAATCAGTGGCATGAGTGGTCTGGCCGCAGCGCTGACCCCGCGTCGGGCCATAGCGAGGGAGATACTGGCAAGGAGGAAAGGCGGCTGCTGCACCACGTCCTGCGCCATTGCTACCACGACCCGCGCCACCACCACGACCAGCGCCACGCCCACCCCCACGCCCTCCCCTGGTGTTGCGCTGCTGAGCAACAGCGGCAATGGAGGAGGAATGGCGCAAGAGGTCGGCCTCAGTGGTGATAATCCACTGGGCGACTTCAGCCGGGGTGATGCGCTTGTCGATCAGCTGCATGTAGGCGATCTTATGGGTGTCGAAGGCAGGAGTCAAGCCTTCAAGGAGGTGGCAGCAGAGCACTGGGTCCGGGTACGGCACGCCAAGAGCCGCCAAGCGCCGAGCGAGGTCGAGGACGCGACGCGTGAAGGCAGCTGCGCCGGTGGTAGAGTCCATGGTGAGGCTCTGGAACTCCTTGATGAGGGAGTAGAGGGTGGCGACGTCCTGCCGATCATAGAGATCAGTGAGGAGCCGCCAGAGGTGAGAGTAGGAGGTGGGAGCAAGCTCGCGCTTGAGGGTGGGAGGAATGGTGGCGAGGAGGATGGTGAGCGCGCGCCGGTCAGCGACACGCCAGGCAGCGAGGTCGGTGATGTATGCGCGCTCGCGCCTGACGTACTCCGCGAGCGCCGCCTGATACGTGTTGTAGGCGGCAGTGGCGGCGTCATGCTCGGCGCGGGAAGCCTCGAAGAGCAGCTGCTGGCGGACGTGGTCGGTGAGGCCGGCACGGTAGGTGCGGATGGCGGTCTCGAAGCTCTGAGGGTCGTTGACGTCAGGGGCGAAGGTTGGAGGATCGCCGGGGCTGACGGGAGCATCGCCAGGAGGAGGAGGTGCAGGGCCCGCGGGAGCATCCGGCTGGGCAGGCTGAAGACCGCGCTCCTCGAGATGGACAACGGCTTTCAGGTTGTAGCCGTTGACCGTCACTGAGGAGAGAAGCACCGTGACGGTTTGGGCATAGGAATGCCAATTGACCGCGGTGTTGTCGGGCAGCAGCTCAAGAGCGTCGACGGAGGTAAGGTCCACCGAGGAATCGGACGCCATTGAGGAGGAGGGGAAGGAGGGGGGGGGGAGGAGGAAAAGGAAAGGAGGAGGAAAAGGAAAGGAGGAGGAGAAGGGGGGAGGGAGGAGAAGGATAGGTGCGCGGAGCGCAGCTCTTAAGTCGCCGAAGGCGACTTAAACGAGCTGCGCGACGCGCTCCAAGGAAGATGCGGCGGTCGGCTGCACGCCAAAATGGCGCGACGAACGGGTGCACGCGACGGCGGAATCGACGACAGGCGGGCGCACGCGGCGGAGAAATCGACCAACGGCCGTGCGCGCGCGGCGACCGAAAGGCGACGGGCGCGGTGGGAGAATTTGTCGACGGGCGTGCACGGGAGCCGTGACGGTCGGGCGCGCGGAGAGCGCGACGGACGGGTGCGCGCAAACGCGGAAGGCGCGCGACGGGAGGGCGCGACGAGAGGGTGCGACGACGGGCCGCGCGACGGAGGAGCGCACCAACGGGCGCAGTAGAAGGATGCGACGGCTAGAAGCGCGTCGTCAAGCGCGACGGGAGGCGCACGACGGAAGGGAGAGCGGGCGCGGCAAAAAGGCGCGGGACGGGAGGAAGAGCGGGCGCGACGGAGTAGCGCGGCGGGAGAGGGCGCACGGGGGGCGCGGGAAGGAGCCTTAAGGAAGGGCTAGGCTTCGAAGACGAGGAGGGACGGCATACGGCCGTGCTAGTTAGGATCGACTAGAGGTGGCGTGAGCCATTGTAGCTCTGAATACCATGAAGGAATTAGCTTGGAAGAGAAAAGATTGAATTGAGTAGGGAGCCAAGAGGCTCTTTTGTACAAAACAAGGAGCAAGAAAGAGTTGGAAGGGAAGCTCTCCTATTGGCCATAAAGTGGACCAATGGGAGAGGTTGCTTGTAGGGCAAGCAACCACAAAGTGTGGTGCTTTCCGATTGGCCACAATGTGGACCAATGAGAGAGATTGCTTGGAAGGCAAGCAACCACAAAGTGTGGTGCTTGGTGATTGGTTGGTTCCTAGGACCAAGGACCATTTGGTTGGAATAGTGCCAACCAAATGTCTAGGACCAAATCCAATCTTGACCAACCCAAATGTGGGGTTGGTCAACCCAACCAACAACCCCCAATAATTAGAATGACTACACCTCCTAATCTAGGCATGCATGTTGTATAGATATATATTTTACAACATGCCTCTCACCTGCAGTCTGCCTCTAACCTGCAGTCTGCCTCTCTCCTGCAGTCTGCCTCTCACCTGCAGTCTGCCTCTCACCTGCAGTCTGCCTCTCTCCTGCAGTCTGCCTCTCACCTGCAGTCTGCCTCTCACCTGCAGTCTGCCTCTCACCTGCAGTCTGCCTCTCACCTGCAGTCTGCCTCTCACCTGCAGTCTGCCTCTCACCTGCAGTCTGCCTCTCACCTGCAGTCTGCCTCTCACCTGCAGTCTGCCTCTCACCTGCAGTCTGCCTCTCTCCTGCAGTTTGCCTCTCACCTGCAGTCTGCCTCTCTCCTGCAGTCTGCCTCTCACCTGCAGTCTGCCTCTCACCTGCAGTCTGCCTCTCACCTGCAGTCTGCCTCTCACCTGCAGTCTGCCTCTCACCTGCAGTCTGCCTCTCACCTGCAGTCTGCCTCTCACCTGCAGTCTGCCTCTCTCCTGCAGTTTGCCTCTCACCTGCAGTCTGCCTCTCTCCTGCAGTCTGCCTCTCACCTGCAGTCTGCCTCTCACCTGCAGTCTGCCTCTCACCTGCAGTCTGCCTCTCACCTGCAGTCTGCCTCTCACCTGCAGTCTGCCTCTCACCTGCAGTCTGCCTCTCACCTGCAGTCTGCCTCTCACCTGCAGTCTGCCTCTCACCTGCAGTCTGCCTCTCACCTGCAGTCTGCCTCTCTCCTGCAGTATGCCTCTCACCTGCAGTCTGCCTCTCACCTGCAGTCTGCCTCTCACCTGCAGTCTGCCTCTCACCTGCAGTCTGCCTCTCCCCTGCAGTCTGCCTCTCGCCTCCAGTCTGCCTCTCGCCTGCAGTCTGCCTCTCGCCTGCAGTCTGCCTCTCGCCTGCAGTCTGCCTCTCGCCTGCTGTCTGCCTCTCGCCTGCAGTCTGCCTCTCGCCTGCAGTCTGCCTCTCTCTCGCCTGCAGTCTGCCTCTCGCCTGCAGTCTGCCTCTCGCCTCCAGTCTGCCTCTTGTCTGCAGTCTGCCTCTCACCTGCAGTCTGCCTCTCTCCTGCAGTCTGCCTCTCACCTGCAGTCTGCCTCTCACCTGCAGTCTGCCTCTCACCTGCAGTCTGCCTCTCACCTGCAGTCTGCCTCTCACCTGCAGTCTGCCTCTCACCTGCAGTCTGCCTCTCACCTGCAGTCTGCCTCTCACCTGCAGTCTGCCTCTCACCTGCAGTCTGCCTCTCACCTGCAGTCTGCCTCTCACCTGCAGTCTGCCTCTCACCTGCAGTCTGCCTCTCACCTGCAGTCTGCCTCTCTCCTGCAGTATGCCTCTCACCTGCAGTCTGCCTCTCACCTGCAGTCTGCCTCTCACCTGCAGTCTGCCTCTCACCTGCAGTCTGCCTCTCACCTGCAGTCTGCCTCTCTCACCTGCAGTCTGCCTCTCGCCTCCAGTCTGCCTCTCGCCTGCAGTCTGCCTCTCGCCTGCAGTCTGCCTCTCGCCTGCAGTCTGCCTCTCGCCTGCTGTCTGCCTCTCGCCTGCAGTCTGCCTCTCGCCTGCAGTCTGCCTCTCTCTCGCCTGCAGTCTGCCTCTCGCCTGCAGTCTGCCTCTCGCCTACAGTCTGCCTCTTGTCTGCAGTCTGCCTCTCACCTGCAGTCTGCCTCTCACCTGCAGTCTGCCTCTCACCTGCAGTCTGCCTCTCACCTGCAGTCTGCCTCTCACCTGCAGTCTGCCTCTCACCTGCAGTCTGCCTCTCACCTGCAGTCTGCCTCTCTCCTGCAGTCTGCCTCTCACCTGCAGTCTGCCTCTCACCTGCAGTCTGCCTCTCACCTGCAGTCTGCCTCTCACCTGCAGTCTGCCTCTCACCTGCAGTCTGCCTCTCTCACCTGCAGTCTGCCTCTCACACCTGCAGCCTGCCTCTCACCTGCAGTCTGCCTCTCACCTGCAGTCTGCCTCTCCCCTGCAGTCTGCCTCTCGCCTCCAGTCTGCCTCTCGCCTGCAGTCTGCCTCTCGCCTGCAGTCTGCCTCTCGCCTGCAGTCTGCCTCTCGCCTGCTGTCTGCCTCTCTCACCTGCAGTCTGCCTCTCACACCTGCAGTCTGCCTCTCACCTGCAGTCTGCCTCTCACCTGCAGTCTGCCTCTCCCCTGCAGTCTGCCTCTCGCCTCCAGTCTGCCTCTCGCCTGCAGTCTGCCTCTCGCCTGCAGTCTGCCTCTCGCCTGCAGTCTGCCTCTCGCCTGCAGTCTGCCTCTCGCCTGCAGTCTGCCTCTCGCCTGCAGTCTGCCTCTCGCCTGCAGTCTGCCTCTCGCCTGCTGTCTGCCTCTCGCCTGCAGTCTGCCTCTCGCCTGCAGTCTGCCTCTCTCTCGCCTGCAGTCTGCCTCTCGCCTGCAGTCTGCCTCTCGCCTACAGTCTGCCTCTTGTCTGCAGTCTGCCTCTCACCTGCAGTCTGCCTCTCACCTGCAGTCTGCCTCTCACCTGCAGTCTGCCTCTCACCTGCAGTCTGCCTCTCACCTGCAGTCTGCCTCTCTCCTGCAGTCTGCCTCTCACCTGCAGTCTGCCTCTCACCTGCAGTCTGCCTCTCACCTGCAGTCTGCCTCTCACCTGCAGTCTGCCTCTCACCTGCAGTCTGCCTCTCTCACCTGCAGTCTGCCTCTCACACCTGCAGCCTGCCTCTCACCTGCAGTCTGCCTCTCACCTGCAGTCTGCCTCTCCCCTGCAGTCTGCCTCTCGCCTCCAGTCTGCCTCTCGCCTGCAGTCTGCCTCTCGCCTGCAGTCTGCCTCTCGCCTGCAGTCTGCCTCTCGCCTGCTGTCTGCCTCTCTCACCTGCAGTCTGCCTCTCACACCTGCAGTCTGCCTCTCACCTGCAGTCTGCCTCTCACCTGCAGTCTGCCTCTCCCCTGCAGTCTGCCTCTCGCCTCCAGTCTGCCTCTCGCCTGCAGTCTGCCTCTCGCCTGCAGTCTGCCTCTCGCCTGCAGTCTGCCTCTCGCCTGCAGTCTGCCTCTCGCCTGCAGTCTGCCTCTCGCCTGCAGTCTGCCTCTCGCCTGCAGTCTGCCTCTCGCCTGCTGTCTGCCTCTCGCCTGCAGTCTGCCTCTCGCCTGCAGTCTGCCTCTCTCTCGCCTGCAGTCTGCCTCTCGCCTGCAGTCTGCCTCTCGCCTACAGTCTGCCTCTTGTCTGCAGTCTGCCTCTCACCTGCAGTCTGCCTCTCACCTGCAGTCTGCCTCTCACCTGCAGTCTGCCTCTCACCTGCAGTCTGCCTCTCACCTGCAGTCTGCCTCTCACCTGCAGTCTGCCTCTCACCTGCAGTCTGCCTCTCTCCTGCAGTCTGCCTCTCACCTGCAGTCTGCCTCTCACCTGCAGTCTGCCTCTCACCTGCAGTCTGCCTCTCACCTGCAGTCTGCCTCTCACCTGCAGTCTGCCTCTCTCACCTGCAGTCTGCCTCTCACACCTGCAGTCTGCCTCTCACCTGCAGTCTGCCTCTCACCTGCAGTCTGCCTCTCCCCTGCAGTCTGCCTCTCGCCTCCAGTCTGCCTCTCGCCTGCAGTCTGCCTCTCGCCTGCAGTCTGCCTCTCGCCTGCAGTCTGCCTCTCGCCTGCTGTCTGCCTCTCGCCTGCAGTCTGCCTCTCGCCTGCAGTCTGCCTCTCTCTCGCCTGCAGTCTGCCTCTCGCCTGCAGTCTGCCTCTCGCCTCCAGTCTGCCTCTTGTCTGCAGTCTGACGCTCACCTGCAGTCTGCCTCTCACCTGCAGTCTGCCTCTCACCTGCAGTCTGCCTCTCACCTGCAGTCTGCCTCTCACCTGCAGTCTGCCTCTCACCTGCAGTCTGCCTCTCACCTGCAGTCTGCCTCTCTCCTGCAGTCTGCCTCTCACCTGCAGTCTGCCTCTCACCTGCAGTCTGCCTCTCACCTGCAGTCTGCCTCTCACCTGCAGTCTGCCTCTCACCTGCAGTCTGCCTCTCACCTGCAGTCTGCCTCTCACCTGCAGTCTGCCTCTCACCTGCAGTCTGCCTCTCACCTGCAGTCTGCCTCTCGCCTGCAGTCTGCCTCTCTCCTGCAGTCTGCCTCTCACCTGCAGTCTGCCTCTCACCTGCAGTCTGCCTCTCACCTGCAGTCTGCCTCTCACCTGCAGTCTGCCTCTCACCTGCAGTCTGCCTCTCACCTGCAGTCTGCCTCTCACCTGCAGTCTGCCTCTCTCACCTGCAGTCTGCCTCTCGCCTCCAGTCTGCCTCTCACCTGCAGTCTGCCTCTCACCTGCAGTCTGCCTCTCTCCTGCAGTCTGCCTCTCACCTGCAGTCTGCCTCTCACCTGCAGTCTGCCTCTCACCTGCAGTCTGCCTCTCACCTGCAGTCTGCCTCTCACCTGCAGTCTGCCTCTCACCTGCAGTCTGCCTCTCACCTGCAGTCTGCCTCTCTCACCTGCAGTCTGCCTCTCGCCTCCAGTCTGCCTCTCGCCTGCAGTCTGCCTCTCGCCTGCAGTCTGCCTCTCGCCTGCAGTCTGCCTCTCGCCTGCTGTCTGCCTCTCGCCTGCAGTCTGCCTCTCGCCTGCAGTCTGCCTCTCTCTCGCCTGCAGTCTGCCTCTCGCCTGCAGTCTGCCTCTCGCCTACAGTCTGCCTCTTGTCTGCAGTCTGCCTCTCACCTGCAGTCTGCCTCTCACCTGCAGTCTGCCTCTCACCTGCAGTCTGCCTCTCACCTGCAGTCTGCCTCTCACCTGCAGTCTGCCTCTCACCTGCAGTCTGCCTCTCACCTGCAGTCTGCCTCTCTCCTGCAGTCTGCCTCTCGCCTGCAGTCTGCCTCTCACCTGCAGTCTGCCTCTCACCTGCAGTCTGCCTCTCACCTGCAGTCTGCCTCTCACCTGCAGTCTGCCTCTCTCACCTGCAGTCTGCCTCTCACACCTGCAGTCTGCCTCTCACCTGCAGTCTGCCTCTCACCTGCAGTCTGCCTCTCCCCTGCAGTCTGCCTCTCGCCTCCAGTCTGCCTCTCGCCTGCAGTCTGCCTCTCGCCTGCAGTCTGCCTCTCGCCTGCAGTCTGCCTCTCGCCTGCTGTCTGCCTCTCGCCTGCAGTCTGCCTCTCGCCTGCAGTCTGCCTCTCTCTCGCCTGCAGTCTGCCTCTCGCCTGCAGTCTGCCTCTCGCCTCCAGTCTGCCTCTTGTCTGCAGTCTGCCTCTCACCTGCAGTCTGCCTCTCACCTGCAGTCTGCCTCTCACCTGCAGTCTGCCTCTCACCTGCAGTCTGCCTCTCACCTGCAGTCTGCCTCTCACCTGCAGTCTGCCTCTCACCTGCAGTCTGCCTCTCTCCTGCAGTCTGCCTCTCACCTGCAGTCTGCCTCTCACCTGCAGTCTGCCTCTCACCTGCAGTCTGCCTCTCACCTGCAGTCTGCCTCTCTCCTGCAGTCTGCCTCTCACCTGCAGTCTGCCTCTCACCTGCAGTCTGCCTCTCACCTGCAGTCTGCCTCTCACCTGCAGTCTGCCTCTCACCTGCAGTCTGCCTCTCACCTGCAGTCTGCCTCTCACCTGCAGTCTGCCTCTCACCTGCAGTCTGCCTCTCTCCTGCAGTCTGCCTCTCACCTGCAGTCTGCCTCTCACCTGCAGTCTGCCTCTCACCTGCAGTCTGCCTCTCACCTGCAGTCTGCCTCTCACCTGCAGTCTGCCTCTCACCTGCAGTCTGCCTCTCACCTGCAGTCTGCCTCTCACCTGCAGTCTGCCTCTCACCTGCAGTCTGCCTCTCACCTGCAGTCTGCCTCTCACCTGCAGTCTGCCTCTCACCTGCAGTCTGCCTCTCACCTGCAGTCTGCCTCTCACCTGCAGTCTGCCTCTCACCTGCAGTCTGCCTCTCCCCTGCAGTCTGCCTCTCGCTTCCAGTCTGCCTCTCGCCTGCAGTCTGCCTCTCGCCTGCAGTCTGCCTCTCGCCTGCAGTCTGCCTCTCGCCTGCTGTCTGCCTCTCGCCTGCAGTCTGCCTCTCGCCTGCAGTCTGCCTCTCTCTCGCCTGCAGTCTGCCTCTCGCCTGCAGTCTGCCTCTCGCCTACAGTCTGCCTCTTGTCTGCAGTCTGCCTCTTGTCTGCAGTCTGCCTCTCACCTGCAGTCTGCCTCTCACCTGCAGTCTGCCTCTCACCTGCAGTCTGCCTCTCACCTGCAGTCTGCCTCTCACCTGCAGTCTGCCTCTCACCTGCAGTCTGCCTCTCACCTGCAGCCTGCCTCTTACCTGCAGCCTGCCTCTCACCTGCAGCCTGCCTCTCACCTGCAGTCTGCCTCTCACCTGCAGTCTGCCTCTCACCTGCAGTCTGCCTCTCACCTGCAGTCTGCCTCTCTCACCTGCAGTCTGCCTCTCACACCTGCAGTCTGCCTCTCACCTGCAGTCTGCCTCTCACCTGCAGTCTGCCTCTCACCTGCAGTCTGCCTCTCACCTGCAGTCTGCCTCTCACTTTCTCCAGCTCTGCTGCCTCCCTCTCCGCCTCCTCTTCCTCCTCCTCCTTCGCCCCCTTGGCGCTCATCCGCTTATACACCAGCCAGTCCTCGTCCCTCATTCCAAAGTCATCATCATCCCCCCCTCCTCCCCCTCCTCCCCCCTTCCTCCCCCCTCCCCCACCTCCCGCTCCCGCTCCTCCTCCTCCTGCTCCCTTCCCTCCCCCTCCTCTCCGCCCTTTCTTCGAATCAAACGCAGCAGCAGTGAGCAGCTTCATCCTCTCTCGATGCGCCGCTGTGATCCGCTCCGTTCTCCCGCCAGGCAGAGTCCCGGAGCCTCCCAGGCCCACCCCAGAGCCCCCGGGAAGGGTGCCAACAGCCCCGCCCATGGGGGTGATGTCCAGAGTTGCGCCTCTCATTGCCTTCCCTGACGCTGCGGCTGCTGCTGCTGCCGCGAGAGAGAGGACGGGAGCAGAAGAGAGAACAGAAACTCCTGCTGCTGCTGCTGCTGCTGCTCCTCCTCCCCCTTCTCCTCCTGCTCCTGGCATTGACTCCGTTCCACCTGCCACTCCCTCTGACCCAATGCTCTTTCCCCCTGACTCTTCCCCTTCCCCTCCATTATTAACCCCCGCTAATACGCACGCAACAGCACCAAGCGCCACCACCCCCCCTCCGCCCATCTTCCTGCGCTTCCGCTGCTGCAGTCCCGCCTGCAGCACCTGAAACCGAGCCTTCAGCTCTGCTGCATAGGCCTCGGGATTCTCCCTGGGGGAAAGACGAGAGATGGAGAGCACACAGATTCGATGCAGCAGGGACGACTGGATCGAGGGGCAAACAGGTGCTGCAGACAGCAAGAGATGGGAAAAAGCACAGACAGCAAGAGATGGAAAAAAGCACAGACAGCAAGCCCCATAAGAGGGAAACAGACACAGGCAGCAAAAGAGAGCTGTGAAAGGGTCACATGCGAAAGTGATGCCCCAAAGCTAAATACTCGATGTAGTAGAGAGTTGCGATTGCCCGCGAGTCCAGTTTTGAGGCGCCTCAAAACTAGACTCCTATCACGCGGTTGCCCGCATTCCCTTCACATTTCCATTTTTCTGTCTCCCTTTGACTCTTCTTCCTCTCCTCACCTTCGCCTCCTCTCCTCCTCGTCCCTCTCAGCAGCAGCCTTTGCTTTCTTCTCCTCTGCAGCCTGTCTGACCCGCGCCTGCCCCAAGGCAATGCCTCTCATCGTCCGCTGCCGCCGCTTCTCCCGCAGCTGCAAGGCAAGGCAAGGCAAGGTAAGGCAAGGGGAGGGGAGTGACGGGAGGAACATGCATGCAGGCAGGCAGGGAAAGAACCCCTTCACCTATCTGTCTTGCCTGCGCCGTTTCACCCGCAGCTGCAGAGGACACAGGAGGAGGGCGCACAAAGGAAGCAAGGAGGGAGACGGGATGGCATGTGCGGGCAGGAAAGAAACGCCTGGAGTTCCCTTCAAGCCGTGCCTCCCCTTAAAGCCGTGCCTCTCCCAAGGCAATGCCTCGCATAGTCCACTGTCGCCGCTTCTTCCAGAGCTGCAAGGCAAAGGGAGAGGAGAGGAGAGGGGAGGTGAGGAGAGGTGAGGAGAGGAGAGGAGAGGAGAGGAGAGGAGAGGATAAGGGAGAAAGGAGGAGACACGAGGGTGGAGTGGATGCAGAGCCTCAGAGTTAAAAATGCGTTGATGCATGCTGCAGCCCGGAAGCCTTGCCAAACCCACTGGAATCTCTCTCGGTAGATCACCGACAAGTGAGGCACTCACATGTCATAGCAGCATGTCATAGCGGCATGTCATAGCGGCGTGCCATAGCGGCATGTCATAGCGGCGTGCCATAGCGGCATATCATAGCGGCATGTCATAGCGGCGTGCCATAGCAGCGTGTCATAGCGGCATGTCATAGCGGCGTGCCATAGCGGCATGTCATAGCGGCATGTCATAGCCCTCACAGAGCGCTCCGGCAAATGTGCGTTCACATGGGATGGGATGGAACCAATGCTCGTCTCGCCTCCTCTGCTGTCAGATCCGAGTCCAGAATATCCAATAACGGGTATAACATTGACTCATCCTGCTCCTCCTCACCCCCTCCTGCCCCCCACCCTGTCTCACCCTCTTCCCCCCTCCTCACTTCTTTTGCTGTCAGTTCTGCAGCTGGAATAGCCAATAACGGGTATAACATAGACTTCTCCCGCTTCTCGCATCCTCCAAACTACCCACCCTCCCTGTCTCACCATTTTCCCCTTCTCACCTCTTCTGCTGTCAGCTCTGCATCCGGGATATCCAATAACGGGTACAGCACAGAGTCATCCTGCTCCTCCCCCCCTCCTGCCACCGACCCTGTCTCCCCATCCTCCCCTTCCGCCCCGCCCTCCCCCCCCTCTCCGCCGTCCCCCTCCCCCTCCTCCCCCCTCAGCTTCCGCAGATTCGCCAGGCGCTTGGCCAGCTTGGCGCGTGCCTCGGCGAGGGTGGCACAGCGCACGCGTGACAGGAGCTGAGGGCGCGAGGAGACCAAGGGAAGGAGGAGAAGAGCAGGGAGGGAAAGGGGGGGGGGGAAAAAAGGATGGGGTATGCTAGTGGTAAAGGCATAAAAAGCTGGGGTCTATTTTCGAGGCGCCTCAAAATGGGAGGGCGGGAGACAGAACAGGATGGAATCCGTCTGTCGGTGGTGGAGGCAAAAGGCTAGGAGCAGCTTGGCTCTTGGCCAGTCTGGGTCCTGCCTATGTGAGTGTGGTGTGGTGTGGCGCAGCGCACTCGGGATAATTTTTTGGGGTCGGAGAGGAAGGGAGGGAAATTCTAGACCCACCATAGTGCCCTGGCCCCCATGCCCTCAATCACCGTTCTCAACCTCTCCACCTCTTCTATCACCACACTCAACCTCTCCACCTCATAAACGACTGAAAGACGGTCTTTTCCGCCAAAGTGACGAATGGCTAACTGAATCCAAAACGCACCATGATTGCCTCTCTCCCCTCAGCCCCGTCCTCCACCTCCTCTATCACCGCTCTCAACCCCTCCACCTCCCCCTCCACCTCCTCAACCTCCGCCGCCCGTTTCGCCGCCCGCTTTGCGGCTGCCATGTCTCTCAGTCGCCGGCCCGCCCTCTCCTTGTTGGCTGCTCGCCGCGCCACCTCCTCCTCTGATGGCCCCTGGGGGGCCACTGGAGGCACCCAGGGGAGTTGCCAGGAAACAGCTGGGGCGTCCGGTGACTGGGAAGTGGGGGAAGTGGGGGAAGTGGGGGAAGTGGGGGAAGTGGGGGACGGGGGGGGGTGGGGGGGGGAGGGGAAGAAAAAGGGGAAAACAGAGGGAGGGAGGTAAGTCCCTGAATCGCTGGCCTGTCCTCTCCTTGTTGGCTGCTCGCCGCGCCACCTCCTCCTCTGATGGCCGCTGGGGGGCACTGGAAGCGGAGTTGCCCGGAACCAGCTGGGGCGTCTGGTGACTGGGAAGTGAGGGGGTGCATGGAGGGGGAAGGGGGGGGAGGGGGGGGGGAGAAATGGGGAAGAAAAGGGGGAAAAGGGGGGGAGAACAGAGGGAGTGAGGTAAGCAAGTCCATCAGCCGCTGGCCCGCCCTCTCCTTGTTGGATGCTCGCCGAGCTACCTCCTCCACTGAGAGGCCCTAAGGCGTTACTGGGGGGACGCAGGGAGATGACCAGGAGATTGCGGGGGCATCTGTGGACTGGGTGGAGGGAAGGAGGGGGGCGGGGAGGGGGTGGGGCATGTGTAGGGTTTGGCTGGTATTGTAGGTTCTGAATGGTGTCTCCATGCATGCTCCCTGCAGGCGCGGGCGTGTAAGGGTACGTGAGCACATGGGGCATGTGAATGAGACGGCGCATGTGCAGTGCATGTGCACATGCCTGGTACACGCATGTGCACATGCAAAAATCGTCTCAGTTTTGAGGCGTCTAAAATATGTTATCACGTGCGAGTCGATTGGAAGGCACTCAACAAACATATCTGGTATCTTTGAGTTCTCGCGAGACTAGTCCATCCATGTCAACATTCGCACTCCAGCACCGCACTGCACCTGTCTTGATCTCCTCTGCACTCTCTCCCACGATATGGCTGTTTAGCACCTTGAATCTTGAGGCGCCTAAAAAACCCACGACGTGGCAGTCACTGTCTTTACGCATTCTTTACGCACTGCTTTTGAGTCGACTCAAAATCTGCACTCTCTCCCACAATACAGATGGCTGTCGCATTCTTTACGCACTGCTTTTGAGTCGACTCAAAAGCTGCACTCTCTCCCACGATACGGCTGTCACATTCTTAACGCACCTCGAATCTTCGCTCGCAAGTCTCACCTGGTACGTCTTGAGTTCCTGCGAGTAGTCTATGGCAACATACACACTCCTACACTTCATCTCCTCCGCTCTCTCCCATGTCATTGCTGCGCTGAAGCGGTGATGCGGCATAATGGTGCGATGACATGATGGCATGACATGCGATGAGGGGAGAGGGAGGAGAGAGCAAGAGAGACGCGTCAGTCCCTTCTCTTCCCTTTGTCACATACATGGACATGGCAAGGGGAGAGAAAACGCCCTTGTGCGTGTGAGGAGAGGGCGAAGTGCACCAAGGGGCCAAACAAAACCAGTGCGACCAGGAAACTTCTCAGACTGTCCGAAAGCAGAGAGACTGTGAGGAGTTGAGAAGGTGAGGGGGAAAGGGGCAGGAATGAGCAGAAGGGGAGCAGGGCCGTGTGAGACCAAGGAGAAGAACAGGGGGTGGGTGGGTGGGTGGGTGGGTGGGTGGGCGGCTCGTCACATCACATCACACCACATCACATCACATCACACCACACCACACCACACCACACCACACCACACCACACCACACCACATCACATCACATCACATCACATCACATCACATCACATCACATCACATCACATCATACTACCCAGCAGGACAGGGAGGGCCGTACCCGTGTTGTGGATACAGCAGGGTGAGGAGGCGCTTGAGGTAGTCAGTGACGTGCCACCCGCCAACGGGAATGCGACAAGTGGCGTCTAGCAGTGGCTGCCCTGCAATCATCTGCCTGCACATGACGCCAAGTGGCAATGTACGATTGGTTCGTGATGGTGGTAGAAGGATGCAAGTCCTAGCAAGTCAGGTAGGTGGATGGATGAGAGGAAGGGAGGAAGAGAGCGGGGGGGAGCAAGCGAGTGAGAGGGGGCGAGAGAGAGGAGGGGAGCGAGAGAGATGGGGAGAGCGAGAGAGATGGGGGGAGCGAGAGAGATGGGGGGAGCGAGAGAGATGGGTGAGACGGGGAGGTTCAGTGGGGGCAGGGGAAGCGGGGGGGGCATAGAGCCAGAAAGAGCACACTGGCATGACATGATATGACATGATACGACACGGCATGACATGACATGGGTGGTGGATGGAGTGGCTGCTGTTCACAAGCAGGCCGTCAGACGACCGAAGAACGGCCAGCAGGAAGGGGCAGGGAGCAGGCACGGAGAGCTTGTAGGGAGTGCGAGAGGGGGCGGGGAGAGTGGGTAGGGAGAGAGAGAGGGGCCAGACAGAGCGGGTAGGGAGAGTGGGAAGGGAGAGCAGGCAGGGAGAGCGGGTAGGGAGACCAGGCAGGGAGAGCGGGAAGGGAGAGGGGGCACGGGGAGGGAGCAGGAAAGAAAGACGCACCGGCATGACATGGGTGGTGGAGTGGCCGCTGTTCACAAGCAGGCCGTCAGGCAACGGCTGAGAGGCGCCTGTCACCCCTGTATGCTCCGCCCTCCCTCTGTGCTCTGCCCTCATCGCGCCCTGCTGCAGGTTGTGCCTGTAGCTGAACACCCCATCCACGCCAAAGGCTGGGAGAGAGGAGAGGAGGCGAAGGGTGGGTGGGGGTGGGGAGTTCTTAAGGCTGTGAGGGCTTAAGGCTTAGGGTTTAAACGTCAGGGGGCGGGGGGGGGGGGACAAGGGCAGAGAGGGTTGCGCTGCTTTTCCCCTGCCCGCCCCTGCTCTCGAGGCGCCGGATTCTTTTTGCTCGCCCTTGCACGTTGTGCCAGTAGCTGAACACACCGTCACCACCGAAAGCTGGGAAGGAAGGAAAATGATTTTCCGGGGGGAGGGGGGGGAAGGGGAGGGAGGGCCAGAGGACGGACGGAGGGCATGGGTGTCCAAGGTGTTGTCCCGCACATAGTCTATACAATACAAGACACGCATAGTAGTCCACTCGGTGCCCTGCCTTAGTTGTTCATTTAGTCGACTCAAAAACCACGTCGTTACAATGTCACACGGCAGCAGAGGAGGGAGGGGATGGGTTTGCCAACAGTCAAGGTGATGTGTTGTGTCCCAAACCACACATAGCCTTATTTTTTAGGTGCCTCAAAAAAGGTGTTGTGTCCCCCACCCCACCCCCACCCCCGTACATAGCCTCATACAATACAAGACACGCCTTGGAATCCACTCGGTCTGTCGGTGTTCTGTCCTAAGTTGATTTTCCTGTCGACTCAAAATCACTTGGTGCTGTGTCCTAAGTTGCATACAGCACCGAATAGGCATACCTTCTGCTGGGGCGGACGAACCCAGCCCAGTGAGTTTCATTTCCAGCATTAGCTCTGCGAGCTTGCCACGCACGCGTGCGTGCGTGCTTGTACGAAAATGCATATGAGGGGCGAGTTTAATGCAATGCTGGCAGGCCATGATTCGTACCTAAAGCGGGCACCCCATAGGTTTAAAACATGAGCTCTGCTGTTCTGCCACATGTGTACAGCGGTGTGCGTACCTAGTGCTGGCACCCCGTAGGTCTCAAACATGAGCTCTGCTGTCTTGCCGCGCGTGTGCAGGGGCGCACAGGGAGCCTCCGTTAGTAGCACAGGGTGGTCTACCCTGCCGCTGCCTTCTACCCCCAAGCGGTCAAATGCGTAATCAAATATCTGAAAGCGAAAAGGGAAGTTAACAGGGGTGGGGGGGAGGAGGAACGGGGGTGGGGTGGGTGGGGATGGTCGGCAAAGATAGGAGCTGTGAGAAGTAGTGTGAGAGGGGGGAGAACAAGAGGGCGCTGCGCTGCTAAGGTTGCGAGAGAGAGAAAAGGGTAGCGGAAAACAGGAGAGTAAATAAACGATAGAGGCGGAAAGAGAGATGGAGTGAGGGAGGGGGGCCGGCAAGAAAGAGAAGGGTAGGCAGAGTGGGGGAGGAAGAGAGTGAGAGGAGGAGGAGGAGGAGGAGGAGGAGGAGGAGGAGGAGGAGGAGGAGGAGGAGGAGGAGGAGGAGGAGGAGGAGGAGGAGGAGGAGGAGGAGGAGGAGTGAGGAGGAGGAGGAGGAGGAGGAGGAGGAGGAGGAGGAAGAGGAAGAGGAGGAGGAGGAGAGGATCATCATAAGCATTCCGTCAGCTCGAAGATGTAGGCAACGTTGGACCCAAAGGGCGAGGGAGAGGGACAGGAGCGAGAGAGGGGGGAAGAAGGGCGGAGGAGAGAGAGAGAGAGCGAGAGGGGGGATGGAAAGCTCCAAGTTACAGACAACGTTGGACTGACAGAGGGAAATCTAGAGAGAAGGCCAGTCTGGGGGTAGGCAGGGGGTAGAGGAGCGGGGGTCATGTGTGCCCCTGCATTCCATAAGCTGCCCGTGGTGGATACCGCTCGCCTCGGAGGGGAGCAGGGGAGGCGTTCGAGGCGGAAACAGAGAGACAGGAGTAAGAGGAGCGGAGGAGGGGAGGAGGGGAGGAGCGGAGGAGGGGAGGAGGGGAGGAGGGGAGGAGGGGAGGAGGGGAGGAGGGGAGGAGGGGAGGAGGGGAGGAGGGGAGGAGCGGAGGAGGGGAGGAGGGGAGGAGCGGAGGAGGGGAGGAGGGGAGGAGGGGAGGAGGGGAGGAGGGGAGGAGGGGAGGAGGGGAGGAGGGGAGGAGGGGAGGGGTGGAGGGGAGGAGGGGAGGAGGGGATCAGGGGTGGAGGGGAGGAGGGGAGGAGGGGTGGAGGGGAGGAGGGTAGGAGGGGAGGAGGTAGAAAAGGGGAGAAGGGGAGGAGGTAGAGGAGGGGAGGAGGTAGAGGCGGAAGCAGAGAGACAGGAGAGGAGTAAGAGGGCCGTACGCATTCCATGAGCTCGAAGTTGTAGACGACGTTGGACTCAAAGGGCGAGCGGATGGACTGCCGCCCGAACTCCAGCGGCCTCAAGGCCGGCGAGGAGGGGTCGAAGTCGCCCACCACCGTCACCTGAGAGCCTGGCAGCGGGGCACGCATGGCGTGAAGGATGGGCGAGCAAGGGATGGTGAATGGCGAGCGCATGGCGAGCGGATGGTGAGCGGATAGTAGACCCCAGCGGCCTTAAAACCGGAGCGGAGGAGTCGAATTCGCCCACCACCGTTACCTGGGGCCCTGCCAGTGAGTTATGCATAAAGCAGGATGCGGGAGGAGAGGGTGCATGGAGATGGATGGGAGGGTGAATGCATGGTGATGGGTCGGTGAATGGTGAGCAAAAGAAGGACAGAGGACTCCAGCGGCCTCAAAGCCAGCAGCCTGAGAGTCAGAAAGAAGGGGCTGGTCAATTCACCCACCACCGTGCCATGGGGGCACAGAGCACTGACATGTCACACACGTAACGGGTGTATCCCCACTCCCCCACTCATCTCTACTCACCCACATTCCTCCCCCTTCTTACCCACATTTCCCCCCCCAGTCACCCATCCCCTCCCCAACGCACCCCATTCCTCTCCTCTCTCCCTCCCACTCAACCCCTCTCCCCCCTCTCTCCTCCTTTCACCCTCTCCCCCCTCACCACCACTTCCCCCTCTCTCCCCTGCTCCCCCTCTCCCCTCTCTCCCCCTCTCCCCGCTCTCTCCCCCTCCCCCCCGCTCACCCCCGCTTCTAGGCCGCGGTCGCCCCACCATGCTCCTAAAGTCCACCCGCGGATCCGCCTCCCCGCCCCACCTGCGCCCATGGCAAATGAGAGGGTGGGGGGAGAGAGGGGGGGGGGGAAGAGGGGGAAGAAGCGGAGGAAGGGAAGGGGAGGGGGGGAGGAAATGGAGGAGGGGGTGCAGGGGGCCAAGGGCGAGCGGCGCAGGGGGGAAGAAAACGCGGGCGTAGAGGGAGAGCGGCCAGCAAAGGTAGGGGGAACGCGGAAGAAAGCGGGGGCGATCAGAGGAAGCGGAAGAGGTAGAATCAGCGGGAGCAAGTGGAGGGAACAGGGAGCAAGTGGAGGGAACAGGGAGCAAGTGGGGGGAACAGGGAGCAAGTGGGGGGAACAGGGAGCAAGTGGGGGGAACAGGGAGCAAGTGGAGCAGTTCGGAGGAGTAAGGGGAATAGAGGAGAGGGATAGTAGCACGTGCCATCCGGACGGGGATTCCTAATTATCACCGTTCGTCTCCACCCACTAGTAGCACTACTGGCCTCCTGGCGTACTCTCTGCGTACAGCGTGTCTATCACTGTTCCCGAGAATCTTCGCGAAAACGGACTGCAACAACTTTATACAGCACCCTTCGCCGGTAACACCTACGCCGGACAGCACCCACCCTATACGGCAGCGGTGCGAGCCGTTGTCGATAACCACAAACGCGTCGCTTCGATCGGCGTATTTCGACAGATAATCGCCGCAGCGAGCGGGTCGCTGAAGCACCGGCGCGCTTCCCCCCTCAGCGCCGCCTCTCGACTCTCCGCTCCGCTTCCCCAGATACCGGTCGGCTCCCCATTCGCCGAACTGCAGCACTGGCGGATGCAAGGCGCTGAGGGATCGAGCCTTGTCAGCGGCATCGGAAGAACTCAACGGACGGGTGGGTACGGGAGTCATAACGAGCGTTGGGATCGTGACTTACGAGTCAAAGTTAAAGCGAGCGTACAGACCAAACTCAAGAGTCAAAGGTTTTGAGTCCCTCGACGCACGAAAACTAACGCGAAACAAACACGGTAACCAAATACCGGCAGGAGGGGTGCGATTTTGATTTGGGGAGATTTTGATTGGCTATGCGACTCACCACCAACCCAGCGACAGAACAGGAAAGCCTCTCCCCCCGCCACACGAAGACCCAAAGCTTTTGCTTTTTACTCTGTACTCAGTAGCCATGGCTCCTTCCCCGCCATTCTCACTCCCTAACACAGCGCTTACCTCCTATTTCGTTATTCAGGGGAAAGGTGCGGCTTATTAGTAACGTTTACATGTTCCTGTAACTCTGTGGGCGACAGCTACCTGCCGCATCTCCGTTACTTTATGCGACCATTGATTTCGTACCTAATCACCCACTTCACTGCATGCCACACTATCATTTTAGGGCGCGCCACGCAAAGACCTTATTAGCAAGCTCTAAGGCATTTCCTCGCCAGTGCGCCCAAGTACCTCGCCCGTTGCCTCGCTTCCCACTCCCCGCTCCTCGCAGCAGCTGCGAGAGCGCTGCCCCGCTTTCCCACTCTTCCGCATTCCCTGTTTTCCACCCCGCCCACTGCATCTGCCTGCATTCGCCTCCCCGATTTCCCACACTCAAGCTGCCACTGCTTTTCCGCTTTCCGCCCAATCCGCTAGCCCGCGTTCCCGCGGTCCCGCTTTCCGCTTTCCCGCGTCCCCGCTTCCCCCCAGCACCCATTTTCCCCTCCCTTTCCCATCCTCGTCGGCCATCCCATGTCTTCCCGTCGCCAATCCCTCCCTTCCTATCCCCACGCCCTTCCCTTTGCGTAGCTCATTGGTCCATTCCCTCACTCAAGCTCTTGCCTTGTCCTCCCGCTCCTCCCCCTGTTATCCCTCCCAACATTCCCACCATATCCCTATATCCCCTGTTTTCCTCACACTGCCCTTCTCTCTCTCCCGCGTTCCGCCCATCTCTCTCTCCGCCGCAGCCCACCTCACTCTCCCCCGCTCTGCGCACCTCTCTTCCCCTCCCACTGGCTACCTCTCTCACGCCTACTCCACGTCATAATTCCTCCAACTCCCTTCCCTCGTTACCCTTGCTCTGCCCACCTCTATCCCCCCAGCTCTTCCGAAGGTGGGCTCTGGCGGGGGGGAAGGTGGGCTCTGGTGGGCGGGGAGGTGGGTTCTGGTTGGGGGTGAGGTGGGTTCTGGTGGGGGAGAGGTGGGCTCTGGTGGGGGGGGAGGTGGGCTCTGGTTGGGGGGGAGGTGGGCTCTGGTGGGGGGGGAGGTGGGCTCTGGTTGGGGGGGGGGGAGGGGGGGGGGGCATTTCGGAGCTGGGGAGGGGGCTCGCCGCCCGCTTTCTCCCTCTCTCCCTCCCATCTCCCTTTCTTTTAGCCCTGGTCGCGATCTAGGAACTCCCTCCCTTCCCTTCCCATCCCTCCTTTCTCACACTCTCATCTGCCCATCTCACACTCCCCGTATTCCCTCATTCATCTCACTACCTATTTCTGCCCCCCCCCCCGCCTCTCTCTGAAGCGGTCCTTGTATTCATGCCCAAACCTGAGTACAGGGCTCGGCACTTCAGGGGTTTGACAAACCATGCATCCTAACCCTCCTCTGCCCCGCTAGCCTAAGGTACGTCCCCGCTTCCAGGACTACAAAGCAGGGTCTAGGCACTCCTCTCCCATTCACCCGTCTCCCTTGCTCCCCTCTCCCGTTCTCCCCTCTCCCATGCTCCCCTCTCCTCTCCCTGGGTAGGGGAGATCCGGGCTCTCTTTGGGGGCGGGAGGAGGGCTATGGGAGGGGGGAAGCAAGGCTATGGGAGGGGGGGAAGCAGGGCTATGGGGGGGGGGGAAGCAGGGCTATGGGAGGGGGGGAAGTAGGGCTATGGGAGGGGGGGAAGCAGGGCTATGGGAGGGGGGGAAGCAGGGCTATGGGGGGGGGGGAAGCAGGGCTATGGGAGGGGGGGAAGCAGGGCTATGGGAGGGGGGGAAGCAGGGCTATGGGAGGTGGGGAAGCAGGGCTTTTGGAGTGGGGGAAGCAGGGTTATGGGAGGGGGGGAAGCAGGGCTATGGGAGGGGGGGAAGCAGGGCTATGGGAGGGGGGGAAGCAGGGCTATGGGAGGTGGGGAAGCAGGGCTTTTGGAGTGGGGGAAGCAGGGTTATGGGAGGGGGGGAAGCAGGGCTATGGGAGGTGGGGAAGCAGGGCTATGGGAGGTGGGGAAGCAGCACTTTTGGAGAGGGGGGAGCAGGGCTATGGGAGGGGGGGAAGCAGGGCTATGGGAGGGGGGGAAGCAGGGCTATGGGAGGGGGGTAATCAGGGCTATGGGAGGTGGAGAAGAAGGGCTATGGGAGGGGGGAAAGCAGGACTATGGGAGAGGGGGAAGTAGGGCTATGGGAGGGGGGGAACGGGGGGTATGGATGGGAGGCATTGGGGCTCACTCTTCTCCCCTCTTCCCCCCCCCACACCCGTTCTCTCTCTCCCTCTTTCTCTCTCACTCTCTTTCGCGCCTCGCACCTGTTCTCCCCTCCTCCCCGCGCTCCCTCACCGTCCCTCCCGCTCTGTCCCTCCCTCTCTTGCGCGCTCTCTCGCTCTCCCCCCCTCTCTCTTCCTCCATTTCTCCCACTCCACTCTCTCATTCTCTCTCTCTTTCTCTCTTGTTCTCCCTTTCCCCCTCACTCTCCATCCACCGCCTGCCCCTTTCATTTTGGGTCGTTTATTGCCTTGGACATTCAACCCCCCCCCCTCTCCTACAGCCTGCTCCCATTCTCACCTCCTACTTCCATCCTGTAGGTTGCAAGGTGCGTGGAAAAGGAGGTGAATAAGGCCTAGGCTAGAGGCCCCTGGCTGATCCTAGCTAGACTGTTAGGGGTTTCCTAGGTTGTGCTGCATTGTGTGTCTTGTTCTTGCCTAAGAAAAAATGGCGCTCACGACCGCTTGCTTGCTTATGTTTCAAAATCAAACTTTGCACTCAGTGGAAACTGGATTCCTGCTATTTTTAAGTCATGTGCTTCATTGTGTAATTATCGTCTCTAACCTGTGTAAAAGTAGATGTGTTGTGCTAATTTCTTAGTTTTTTGTTTTTGTTTTGTTGAATACATGAGCCTCACCAACACAGCACAGTGCTTTTCTCGTTAAAAGATGTTTACTGTTGATTTATGTCAGAACAGTCCTTTGCGAGTTCGACGGGCAGCGTCGCCCGCTGTACCCTTACGACCTCGCCAGTTTTGGCGAGACCATTTCAGTCGTCACGAGGCCCCACGCGTTTCGCGTGGGGCCCGCCCCATTTTTGCGACACTTGTGCCCCTCGCCATTTTCGCTACCTCCAACTCAAGATTCAAAGTCTTTGAATCTTGAGTTTGGTCTGTCCGCTCGCTTTAAAGGTCACCCCAACTACTAGAACGGGTGGACATGGATGTCATAGAGGCATTGATTCGTGCTTGGGTGTAGGTCATAGTTGTCAGAAGGTAGTGTGTGGGTTATGGTAAGAAATGGTGCTTAATTAGGGAATCATACTGAATAATATAAATGCGCGGTGTCTATCCACCAGAATTCAGCATAAGAATGTGGAATCAGTGATGGTGTTGAACTGCAGTGCTTCACGCATAACGCATCGGTTCATAGAGACCAGCCTGTTCGAGGAACCGATCAATATGAACTTGTTTGTACTGGTGCCTGTGATGGTGTCGAACTGTAGTTCTTCATCGCTAACGCATCTGTTCATATGAAGTGACCTTCTCCACACGTGAAAGGACAACCTGTTTCTGGGACAACTGAGAAGGCGTCCCTTCGGTGTATCGAGAGAATCCATTCGGGCAAGAGTACCCAGCAAGTGACTCGGGGGAAAAATCTGCTAGATTACCGAATACCCCGCAACCAATAACAGAACTGGGCGTAAGGATGCATGTCCGTTTTGCGAGAACTGTATGGTAAGTGCGTGCTAGAATTCAATGAGATTCTGGAATCCGTTCAGCACTTGAGATCGTACAGAGTTTAGTACTTTAAGGGTCATTCCGGGCTCGGGTCATCCCTACTTCTGGTCATCATTTGCCAGCATTGCGGAACTTCGGGTCTTCCTCAATGGGGCAAAGGATGACCTGTAGCGCGCAGAGTACTCCCTAAGGACGTAGGACGTACCAAGGTTAAACTTTCTGTCATGGGAAGCTGGTTCCCCTCTAAATTCTTTGCAAGTGCAGGCTCGGGATGGCTGGCAGAACAGCTCGGATGCATGTACAGCCGAACCGAACCTGTGGCAATGCTTGGGCAGGTTAAAAGAAGGCGTGACTTATCTATTTGCCCAGAGGATGAGTTACGGACCGGGCTGCTTTTCATCGTTATTTAAACACCTAAAAAGTCTACAACCGTCTTAACTGTTCTCTTTCCGCAAACTTTCAGAGGCGCTCTGGAACCGAATGCTGCATTCGTGAGGAGTGATTTGATTTGACTGAAAGCTTCTGTCGAAGAATCGACCATGCCCCACAGCGTGGGACAAGTTCACGTGCAGCCAATTGATTGCATTCCTTCCCCCAAACCCAGTTCCTGCGTGTCCTCCTCACACACACGCCGCTAGCCGCTGGGCTGCCGAAGCCGAAGGACTCCTCGCGCTCACACGCTCCAAGCAACCTCACTGCTGTCACGCTGGTGGCCTGGCCAGTGTGTTGTGGGCCGTGATGCACACCCCCCTCATTCTGAGGTTTGGTGTGTGGGGCACGCGTTTCTCCAGATGAATTTGAAGTTACTGTACGGTAGTTTTCCGTGTCAAATAGATGAATCGCCCGAGTGTTGCACATTACATTGGAAAGGAAACTCAGCAGGTGGCCGATTTTTTTGGGTTTTTAGGTTACCGGTAACCCTTACTAGCTTTTTAATTTTTGGGATCACGTTTAGCCCCTATTATGGAAGGGTTTCTCGCCGATCAAACCCCCCAGGGACAGTTTTTTGTTCTTTGAGGTTATTTCTCTCCACAGCGAACCACGTGTAACAATCTCCTTAATCTTGGGCAGAGGGCAGAAACAATAAAACCCTTATGGGCCTGGCATGGCATTCTGGATGGCATCAACCCTAAACTCGAAAAAGGGCCACGAATTTAGGGTTGATGCCAACCAGAATGGCATACTCGCCCCTATGGGTTTTAGTTTTTTTCTTGCCAGCTAGCCTGCCCGAATGTTGTCAGCTATTTTCAGTAGCGCTACAGATCCCACAATATCGCAGGAAAACAGAGTTCAGTAGCCCCAAAGTGACGGAGCAAGGAGATTGTGACGCCTGGTTTTCTGTGGTGCGAACTAACCTCAAAGAACAAAAAACTGGCCCGGGAGGGTTGGAACAATGAAAAGCCCTTCCGTGAAAGGGCTAAATGTTACTCGAAAGAGTAAAACTCCAGTAAGGGTTACCGCTAACCTAAAAACCCGATTTTTTTTGTAATTTCACACCAACTGCTTGTTGCTTGAAGGAAATGCTCCTTTGTCCGCTCCGCTCGTGTCCACCTGCTGGGAGGAAGCTGGCAAGGCAAGGTGGCAGCGCAGAGAGGTGATTGGGCCCACCGCCAGTCTCACAGCTTCCTTTCAACAGCGGTGAGCCATCCACTTCAAATCAAAGTGGGCGGCTTTTCTCATCCATACGCGCGGAACGGTTGCCTGCTCCGCAGGCAATCCATCCATTCTGTAGTCCGGGGAGAAAGCTTCCCCCAAACCCTTCCCCCCCCCCAACCCCACTTTCCCCTCCCAAACCTGGCAGTCTCCCTCTCCCTCCTCTCCCCACCCCACCACCCCTTCTCTCCACTCCACCCACCTTCCCCTCGCCCGCAACCCTCCCTCCGTCCTTCCCCGAGACCCACTCCCGTTCCCCTTCCCCCACAAACCCACCCCTCCCTAGTCCAGTGCATCCGTTTTTGCCAGCACTGCTGGCAGCCCAACGCTTACCGGCCTCCTGAAGATCCCCCCCCTGCAAGGGAGGGTTCTGCTTCTGTTCGTGTGCTCATCATTCCAAGCTTTCTCACCAAGCTCGCTCGTCTATTTTGTTCCAAGCTTCATCAGCAAGCTTGGTTGTCTAGTAGTTGGTTTGTTGTACCTCTCGACTCGGTCATCTCGCCTTTTCAGAACTCCTCGGCGAATTCTCCTCATAATGGTTGATCTCGCGGGTCGTTTCCAGATTAGTGACCTCGGCGCGGCTGGGCCGAGCTTGAGTCTCGGGCCACCTGGCTGGCTCGATCAATCCCAGCCCGATTCGGAACTTGGAATGCGTAAGCCACGAGAAATGACGTCGCCGTCGAAATCTCGAGCTCCGGATACAACATCGTCGGAAGAGTGAGTCTCTGACGCGGCGGCAATCTGGATCGTCGATTTCAAATCGACCCGAGCCTCTGAGATATTTATTTCCGTGCTCCTGTTCTCACAATTTCCTTAAGCTACGCCTCTGATATTTCATGTGCGCAGTGCTCGACTTCTTAGTCCGATGATCAAGAGCCCGGACTCATCAAGACCTGCTCGGAAAAGGTGAGATCTCGGAAATAATAGTACTTCTCGGACTCACTGAGTGTTTTCAGAGACGCGGCGCGTTAGACTCGCCTCTGACCGTGTTTCTCGCGGCGGTTGTTTGTCAGGTCGCGGGATGATCTGGAGGAAGCGGGGTTCAGCAAGGCGCAACGGGAAAAAATGCGTCGCGACCGGCTGAATGACAGGTTAGACGCAGTTCTCGCCGCGTCCGAGGGGGATGAACCGGCGTTCGTTCACACGTCACCGATTCCTGACTCGATTCTGGATTTTTTTTTTCTCTGTCGCTTCAGGTTTCTCGAGCTGGGCCGCGAGCTGGACCCTACGACGACGCCGCGGACCGACAAGGGGATCATCCTGAACAACGCCGTTAGAGTGCTCACGGGCCTCAAGGCGGAGGCTGCAGCTCTCAAGCAAGGCACGTGGCAGCTCCAGGAGCAGATCAAGGAACTTAAGGTGAAGTTAATCCCCCTTTTTTTATAACCTGTTCTTAAGTTATATTTTTGCTGTAGGATCTGTCGTGAGTTTAGACTTTGTAGGTTCTCAGACGACCTTTTTGCTTCTCTGTTTTTTCTTTTCCAGGCTGAGAAGTCCGAGCTTCGGGACGAGAAGGCTCGCCTCAAGGCGCAGCGGGAGTGCCTTCAACTACAACTTCAAGCCTTGCCTCTCCCCACGCCAGATCGCTTTTCATCGCCAGCTGCAGCAGCGGCAGCAGCCGCTGCAGCCCTTGCTGCTCTACAAGCTGCAGCATCTGGGCCCATATCCAGCCATTTTACTGTAAAGCCTCAGGCGTCCGTACCTGCGGATGCTGCACATGCGCCTGGTTCTGTCTGGCAGTGGCTTCAGTCAGCCTCTGGGGATGTTGCGAGAGACCAGGTTCTTCGGGCTCCCGTAGCATGACCTTTCCAATGACTGCACTGGCGCTTCAAGAAAAAATCCTTCGGGTTTTTGGGGTTTTTGTGGGGATGCGAGAGTGGCATCGCCTTTTCTTGCTGTATAGTGGTTCTTTGGGGGTTTCGGGTATAGTATTTGCATGTCTAGTGCTTTCATATCCCTTATAAGGTATGAGGGTGCCTTTGCAGGCTCACAACCAGATGCTGGTTGAGCTTGTTTCTTCCCTTTTGCCCAGCAGAAGTTGGGAGGGTGGTTTCGCGATTTGAGTATGAATGTTAATAGTATTTCGTACAATCAAATTGCGAAAGTGTTTATCCCACTTTCTCGTTTGGTGCGCTGTGGAAAAGAGGTACCTATGGGGAGTGGGGGTTTACAGTTGGTGGAAATGAGGGATGTGTAATTGGGGGTTCGGAGGCCTCGGTGGGCAGGAGGGGTGAAGGGTGAGGGGGGGGCAGAGGCCTCAGTGGGCAGGAGGGGTGAAGGGTGAGGGGGAGGGGCTGGTTGGGGCTTGGGGCGGAAACTGCGCACTCATGCGTCTTGTCTGCGCCTGTTTCCCTGCCCAGCCAGCCAGAGTCTCCGTGTGTTGGCGCACGTGATGAACCCGATTCTCAACCAGGCTTTTGCACGTGGACTTGCTCTCGACCATTCAAGTTGGCGATAAGGTCATAGATATTGTCCAATGGAGGGACTTCACTTTCTGGACCTGTTTTCAAGGCACGGGGTGACGTCGACCGCGCGTCCGTCTGACACGCGTGTTCTTTGATGTGAATGCAGTACTACACCAAACGTGCGATATTTTCTATTCCCCTATTTTTCCTGGGGGTGACAGTGCGAGGGTAGTCACCTTCAAAAGCCTTATTCTAAGAGGCGGACTAAGCGTCCTCTAAAAGAAATCGCCTTGGGTTTCTAGACGTACGATGTTTAAGGGGTAAAATTCCCAGATTTGGTGCTATCTCTCTTTTCTAAGCCCAGGACCCACATCAAACAAGTGGAGGCGGAGAGGCCAGGGAACCAGCCCGTAGATACACGAGAACGATACTTGCAGACCCAGAAACGGCCAGGGTGACGACGAAAGTTTCTCAAACCCCGTTCCCCGCGGTGAAAATGTTGCAGGTTTGTAGCCCCGTTCCCAACCGCCGTCGCGTGGCAGGAATGGCTGGATGACGTTGACGACGATCCGACAAATAACTGTTTCCTTGGCATCTCCATGGTGATCGCTTCGAGCCAATCAGCAAGGCCTAGTTTTTCGAGACGCCGGATCAGCACACGTTTGGGTTCGTAAAGAGTCTGGCCCTCTTTCAAGGCTTTGTGCATCCACCTGTGCAAATTAGGTTCGTTCGTGAGCAACCACATGGCCTAGCTGCGCTAGGATGTGCACGATGGCCCCGGCTCAGAAACTTGTGAGGCCTACCTAGAGTGCACAATGCACATGGCCTGTTAGGCTTCGCGGCCAAGCCAAATTCTGAACCCGAGCCCGTTTAAGCCAAAGCAGAACTTGTGGTTCGGACAGCCACAAAGCCTGCTGGAGGCTTGACAGAAGAGCCCCGGATATTGGTTCTGGGGTAATCTGCGTTCCGAGCGTACGCACTTGGTTTGGCCGGTTGGTTTGTCGGTCTTGAACCACATTACTGTACACATCAGACACAAACCTTCCCCATGCTCGCCACACTTCGCTTCGGGTGGAAGCTCACTCTCACACGCCTCTCGTGTGACAAAAGTTCACTTTGTTGCGGTTCATTGAGGTTCTTTGCGTTCTAGAGCTCTTCGTCAAACATCGGAAATGGTTGGGTAGGGTCTGAGGCGGAAGACTAACCCCTAGTGACGGATTTGTAGGAATGTTGAGAGAGAACTTCGACTTTCCCTAGAAGCACTGGATTTATGCTCGCCTGTCCCCTGATGGCTTCGCAACTTGTGTCGAGGTTCTGAGACCTCTGAAACTATAATTGACGTTTTCCTGTTGCTTCTAAGGGAACTTTTGATCCGTGTCATTAACGCCGCGATGGATGCGTCTTGTTCACTGAGGTTGGAAGCAGGTTGTGCGCTCTCGCTTGGTCCCATCTGGCAATCACAGGACAGGCTCGAAAGAAGGTCAGTTCTCAGTACAGTTTCACAGACTAGTAGTCGCATCCTTGTCGATCCTACCGCCTACCGCGTCTACACCAGCCTCGTAATCGTCTCTCACCATATTAGTCGTGATCTGACGTTTCTCTCTCTCCTGCAGTCTAGACTCCGCTGCGAGACAAAACTCAAACGATGGCTTACCACCTTCCAGAAAACGGTACGATGATGTCTGTTGCTTCCTACTCGATATGGAGTTCCAAGTTAATGACAGTCCCAGTTTTCCGCATTCCTTTCGCTAGACTCCGTCGCTCACTTCTTCTTCCCTGTTGAAACTTTTCGTCCAGGGTTCGAGAAGATGGTGCTAGTGAGAAGGATGCTCCTTCTAGCAAGGCAAGCAGAGAGAAGTTGCGACGCGATAGATTAAACGACAGGTACCGTCTATCTTTAGAGTTGACGCAAATGCGACGCGACAGATTACCGTCTATCTTCCCCGTGATTCACGGCGGTCGCCCTACCTGTCGATCTCACCTGACCGTTGCGACCTCATTCATTCGCTTTCTTCATGGATGCATGTCGACCATAGACGTTCCTCAGACCCCGACCCTAATCACCTTGACGTCCCATGATGCTTCTCTTCGTCCCTCAGGTTTCTGGAGCTCGCGAGGGAGCTCGACCCATCGGCGTCCGCCAGGGTGGATAAGGCCGTCCTTCTCACCGACGCCGCCCAGCTGCTCGTGCGCTTGAAGGCCGAAGCCGCGAGCCTGTCGACAAGTAACCAGCGGCTTCAGGACGAAATTACGCACCTCAAGGTAACGCTTTTTAGCCGGCAGCTTCTAGCGGGCGCTTTTCATATTCCGATCCGAAGGCGGTTGTCATCGCTCTGAGAGACTTCGCCAATTTGGTTACCCCCGAGATCGTCACGCCATGCTCTTTTCTCCCTTTCGTGGTCGTTGACGGGTTGTAACCGCGCTTTCCTCCTATCCTTTCTGCAGGAGGAGAAGTCCGAGCTGAGGGACGAGAAAGCACGGCTGAAAGCTGAGCGGGAACGTCTGCACATGCACCTCCAATCACTCACAGCGCCCACCAGCAGAAACGGTGTTCTGCACCAGAAGCAAACCGCACTGGTTCAGAAAGCAGCGTTGCACTCAGCATATCACACACACCAAGCACCCATTAAGCCTGAAGCTGTGCCGCTGTCTCACCACCATCTGACGATGTGGCAATGGCTACCATCGGCTCTCGCTGACGCATCCAAGGACCATATCTTAACGCCTCCTGTGGCGTGAAAGCGTACTGGCGAGATTCTACCTGTTTTGGTCAGCGACGTCAAAGCCGTGACCGTTTTTTGTTTGTTACTGAAAGAGCAGGTTGATGTTTGCATAGCAGTTATAGCACCTGTTTTTTTGCCTACTTGATGTGGCATTATTTTTTCGAAGCGTAGCTGGGCTATGTTATGTAAGTTACCTTACGTTTCCACATGGCCATGATAATTAACCAAGATGTCGATCCACGTGATATATTCAGGTTGTAAAATTGTAAATCTGTAGCAGAAACAGATGTGAAAAATACCCCTTACACTTAAAAAACTATACCCACTATCAGCAACAAAATTGTATTCTTCCCTTCACTCTCTAAGCTGTCAAACGCACCTACCCACCACTCCTCATGACGCAGCAGTCAGAGCACTGATCTTTTCTGTCCCCTGCCCTAACCGCCCTGCTGCCACTGCACCAACAGTAACCCCTGAGATGCCTAGTCCATCCACCCCTGCCACTCCTACACCGTCACCAGTGCCACCCGCCAGCGCCCCTCCCCCTGCCCCTCCCTCCTGCAGCTGCTGCTGCTGATGATGCTGCTGATCTACATGCACCATTGCACCATTGACATCAGCACTGGGGCCGCCGGCCAATGGAATCGCAGCTCCAGAGGGATCGACGGCTGCGGTTGCATCTGGAGGCATGTGTGGCGGCAGCGAGTGGGGAGGGAGTCCCGAGGGTGGCAGAGGGAGGGGAGTGGCAGCGTGGGGGGCAGACGATGGGCCGTTGGCTGCTGCTTTCTTGCCGTTGAGCCGCTCCTGGATTACACAGAGAGAGTGGGAGGAAGGGGAGTGGGGGGAAGAAAGGTACACAGTAGAACAGGGATGGAGGGAGGGAGGGTGGCGGTGACGAGAGCAGAGTCGACAGGTGGCAGGACATGGGGAGCACAGCACACTTCGGGTGCCGTGAGGCAGTGGTGTGAGATTGGGTATGGATTGGACATGGCATGGAAAGGGAAGGCACACCCACCTGCAATCGCCTGCAGCACCCACCTGCAGAAACGCATTCTGCTGCGCCATCTTGTGGCACTCCTCCTGCATGCGCTGCAGTTCCACTCGGATGGTCTGGTTCTCATCCGTCAGCGCACGCACCCGCCCCATCAGGTCCTCACACTCCGCCTGACAGACAAAGGGATGGGTGGGGTGGGGTGGGAAGGGAAAGGAATAGGGTTAATGGAGACCCCTTGCAGCTCCACTCGGATGGTCTGGTTCTCGTCTGTCAGCGCACACACCCGCCCCATCAGATCCTCACACTCCCGTGCATGCACCTGCCTCTCTCCCGCCCACCTGCTTCTCTCCCGCCCACCTGCTTCTCTCGCGCCCACATGCTTGCGCAATCGTGACCGCCGGGCAGACTCTATGTTGGACTGCTTCCGGCACACACCCTACCCCCCTTCCCAGCCTGCTCCCCCAAACTCTGATCATTCCCCTCGCCTCGCCTGCTTCCCTCCCACCCACCTGCTTGCGCAATCGTGAGCGCCTAGCAGACTCTCTGTTGGACTGCTTTCTGCGCTGCTTCTTCACCTCCCGATCGTCCTGCACACATTGGGGGGAGGGGGGGGGGGGGGGGGGGGGGGGGGGAGCACAGAACATGGAACGTGTTACGTTACATTACATGCCATTGCGTGTTACGTTACATTACATGCCATTGCGTGTTACGTTACATTACATGCCATTGCGTGTTACATTACATTACATGCCATTGCGTGTTACATTACATTACATGCCATTGCGTGTTACATTACATTACATGCCATTGCGAATAGCACCGCCTCTTTTTGAGGCGTCTCGAAAACAGAAGGGCAAGCACAGCACAACAAGCATGTTACATTGCATCACATGCCATCGCGAATAGCAGCCGCCTCTTCACCTTGCTGTCGTCGTGCTAGCTAGCGCCAAAATGCAAGGAGATGTGGGGAGTAAAGTGAGCCGGGATAGAGGCGTGAGTGGGTGAGGGGGGAGAAGAGGAGAGGGAGGGGAAGAGGGGGGGGTTGGGGGGGGGAGGAAAGCGGAACCAGAGACAAGGTAAGAAAGAGCCTTACAGAGTGAACCCAGAGGTCAGAAGCCAGCCCCATCCCTCCTCCTCCTCCTGCTGCCACAGCAGGCCGCTTCTTCCCTCCCCCCCCACCACCGCCACTACCAGCAGTAGCAGCCGAACCCACCATCCCACCAGCCCCCCCTGCTGCCCCCGCTGCTCCCCCCGCTGTCCCCATCCCCGGCAACCCCCCCACCCCGCCTGGCATCCCTGCTCCTGCCCCCCCTGGGACCATCTGCCCTGCTGCTGCTGCTGCTGCTGCTGCCGCTTGGTGCATCTGTGCCTGCGCCTGTGCCTGTGCCTGTGCCTGTGCCTGTGCTTGCGCGGACCAGTAGTCTAGAGGCACCATTCCCCCCATTTCTCCTGCTTCCCCTCCCTTTCCGCCAGAGCCTCCCCCTTCCTGAAAATGGGGGAGGTGGGAGCGGGAAAGAAAGGTGTAAAGAGAGGGGGGGAGTAGAGGAGAGGAAGGAAGGGCGAGGGGAGAAGGGAAATGGGATGAGAAAGACGGAGGCGAATTAGGAGACGCACTCGTTCACCCACACTGGCACACACACAGACACGTACTCACACTCACACTCACATACGTACACACTCTCCACTGCCGCATCATCAAACGAACCATCATCACCTCATAATCACACCATCGTGGCACCATCATCACCCCATCATCACCATCAACACACCATCAGCACACACACCTCATTATGGTCTGTGCCCTCATCGTCGTCTTCCGAATCATCCTCCCCTCCGCTGTAGCGGGGTTCACAATAAGGGGTACAGCAAGGAGGGAATTGAGTGAATGAAGGGCGAGGCGCGGGTGTCCCTGACTGCAGACTCCATCCCTCTGACACCCCCAGCCAACCCCCTTATGGGTCAACTCATAAGCAGACCACCACCTACAGTAACTCATAAGCAGACCACCACCTACAGTAACTCATAAGCAGGCCACCACACCACCCACAGTCCCATACACGCACCTGGTGGGGAGCAGAGCACACCTGGTGGGGAGCAGAGCGCACCTGGTGGGGAGCACACCTTTCCCTGATTGAACCTTCGATCCCTCCAACCCCCCCCAGCCAGCCAACCCCTTTTTTCAGTCAATTCATTAGCTTTACTGAATTCAGTTCCTTCACTCACTTCCCACCTGTCTGTACCCCTTATTGTGAACCCCGCTACAGCGGAGGGGAGGATGATGGATTCATCAGCACACCACCACCCGCAGTCCCATACGCGCACACACCTGGTGGAAAACACGCCATTCCCCGACTGTAGCTTCGATCCCTCTGACGTCATCCCACCACCCAGCCCCACCCCTCCCCCCCCTCCCCCTCCCCCTCCCCCTGCTGCTGCACCCATAGGCCCCCCTTCCCCAACTTTCGGCCCCCCTCCATCTTCCCCCCCTACCCCTCCCCCTGCCCCTGCCCCCCCCCGACTCCTGCTGCTGCCGCCCCTCCCCCCTCCCTCTGATCCGCGTGCATTGCTGCTGGCTGCATGCCCGGCGCCATGGCCTGGGGGGAAGAGAAAGGCGGATTGGGGAAGAGGAGAGAGGGAAGGGGATGAGGGGAAGGGAAGTGGGGAGCACAAGAAGTGCAGGTGTGTGTCAGTCACCCCCCGCCCTCTGACCCGCGTGCATTGCCACTGGCCGCATGCCTGGAGGCTGGCGGTGCCATGGCCTGGCCTGGTCCCGATGCTGGTTCAACGGGGGGGGAAATGGAAGAGGAGGGGGAAGGGAATGGGGGAAGGAGCTTGGAGGCACTGCCACTGGCTGCATGCCTGGAGGCTGGCGGTGCCATGCCCTGCGCCTGATGCTGAAGAGTCTATTTTTGAGGCGCCTCAAAAATAGACTCCTCACGCATGGAGGCTGGCGGTGCCATGGCCTGGCCTGATGCTGAATCAATGCGGGGAGGTAAAGCGCCATATCACAGCTTCTGGTTAAAAATCAATGAAACCGCTGGCTACGTACGGATCGGGCTATGATGACACACTGATGGATGGGGTAACCAGCTCACCCGTTACACACCCAATCGGGTTGGGCCACCAGTTACATACCCAATCAGGTTACCAGTTACAACTTACAACCCAAGTCAGACTACTTGTTACATACTGATGAAGCATCCATCGATGCTGCAGTGGCTGATGGCATGCCGTACCCCATATAAGGCTGCGCGCCCTGCTTTTAAAGGGGCAGATGTAGAGGAAACAGCACGGAAAATAGGAGAATAAGATTAGGAGGACGGGGGGAGAGGAGGGAAGTGAGGAGGCAATAAAAGTGTTGACGACGTCAGGGAAAGAGCAATGTAGGGAGAAAACAGCTCTTACCGGGTACATGGCAGCAGGGGGGTACATTGGCGCGCCATAGGGGGGAGGCTGCCCGTAGGGGGTCATCATGTGCTGCAGGGTGGGGGGGGGGGGGGGGGGAAATGGGGGGAGAAGAGGGGGGAGGGGGGAAGGAGGACGAGAGGGTAGAGGAGAGCTGAAGTTGGTGGGCAATCATGTGCTGGGGGGAAGCGCGAGGGAGGGGAAGGGGGGGGGGAGGGGGGGGGGGGGGGAGAGGGAAGGGGGAAGAAGGAAGCGGATTGCGGAAGGTGAGGGGCGGCTGACCGTAGGGGGTCATCATGCGGGTTGGAGAGATAATGGGGGGAAGAGCGGAAGAGGGTGGGGAGGGTGGGGGGGGAGGGGGGGAAGGAGAGGGGAGGGAAGGGGAGAGGAGTGCGGAAGGAGAGGGGCGGTTGGCCATAGGGGGTCATCGTGTGGTGCGCGGATGAGGAGAAAGGGGTTAGGCGGCAGAGACTACGAGGGCGGGGCGGGAAAGGGCGGGGAGGGGCAAGAGAGGGAGGGGGCGGGGGGGAGAGAGAGGAGAGAGGAGAGAGGAGAGAGGAGGAGAGAGGAGGGAGGAGGAGAGAGGAGACAGGGGGAGGGAAGAGGGGGGGGTTGTAGGGGAGAGAGGGGGTGAGTTTGTGGGGGCAGATGTGAGCGAGGCGGTTGAAGTCAATGGGCAGGTCATGGGTTCGACCCCTCGAGCTGACCTTTACCACCCGGTGCCTATTCTGCAACCTGTTTCAATACCCTGTGGTACCGAGAGGTGTTTGAATTCAATGCCTCCCCCCTCTTAACATGGTCCCGCCGCCTGTTCATAGCCAACGGAGCGGGAGGCCGCTTCCGGAATGACGCGAACCGAACCCGCGCGGCCTAAAAGAACCGCTTTAAACCTCTGCAAGCTCGTTCGCTCTGGCACACTTGTATCCGCATCATCACGTTAAGCAGGAGATGCGGAGACGCGTGCAACGAGGAGCCGGAGAGGGCGGGGTGGGGAAGAGGAGACGCGGGAATGAGGAGAGAGCTGGCGGCGACGGGGGCGGGGGCGGGGGCGGGGGGAGGGGGGAAGTGAGGGAAAATGGGGCGACCAAGTCATGTATGTACCGGCACGCACGGATCGCACCCGCCCCCACAAGGAACGCACCTGCCCCCACATGTAGGGATGGTGCTGGGGTGCGGCGGTCGCTGCCGGGTAGTAGCCGGGCGGTGGCTGGCCCGCCTGGCCGTAGTACGCCTGGCGGGGAGCAACGGCGGGCGCAGATGGGGATAGACGTAACAGGACTGATTAGGGTTGGGTAGACGGCAACACGAGCAGGGGTAGAAAGCGGGCGGTGACTGGCCCTCCTGACCGTTGTACGCCTCGTGGGGAGCAACGGGTGGCACGGCCACGGATGGGAGATAGAAGTAACAGGAGTGATTAGGGTTGGTTAGGCGACAACACGAGCAGGGTAGAAAGTGGGCGGCGGTTGACCAGCCTGGCCGTAGTGCGCCTGGCGGGGAGGCGCGGGTGGCACGAGCACAGGCGAGGAACACTACTACCGTAGATTCGAGGGTTGGTTAGAGACGGGTGGGCTGAACGACGTTGACTGCAGGATGGGACTCATCCACAACTAACGTTTGGCTGCTGCAGTTGGCCCGAAGCCTGAAGTTGAACACTAGGGCTTATAACGGCGGGTAACCGCGAGTAGCTAACAGCTGTAAGCTGCGGATAGACATTGGTCACACGCGGTGAGGTCACCTGGAAAGCCGCTGCCCAATCAGGATACCCTGCCGGCATCTGTTGATCCTTGCCATACCCTTGCGCTTCCTACGGGTGGCTCTTGAGTCGACTCGAGTGTTACCTGAAATGCCGCTGCCCAATCAGGATAGCCTGCGGGCATCTGTTGATCCTTGCCATACCCTTGCGCTTCCTGCGGCGACGGGAGAATCGGCAGCGCGACAACGGACCGAGGGGGAAAGATATGGGTACTATTGAGAGAACGAAACGCGGACGACGCTACATGAGTTCAAGAGCAGATATTTAGAGAGCGATAAGAAGTGGACGCACAACGAGTGTAGTGAGTCTATTTTTGAGTCGACTCAAAAATAGACTCGTTACACACGAAACGCGGACGACGCTACATGAGTTCTAGAACAGATGTTTTGAGAGAGGGAAATAAGAGGTGGACGCAAAACGATGGTTTGCGACTACCTTACTGATCGCGTTTGCCGCTACACGTACGTCAGTCGATCCCATGACAGGCGGCGGTGGCGACTGGCGGCGACAACAGGCGACGATGCTCTTCCAAACGAACTCGTTTTCTTGGTTTAGCTGCGTTACGCGTAGCAGACCCTATCTTCCTTGCAGATCCTCGAGCTTCGCGAATTCCCGAAACACCAATACGGAAACAAATCGCAAAGCGGCTCCTTCCAGCTGCTCCTACAGAATGCAACAAAGCACAAGACTCGGTCGGGCTCAACTCAATAAATTAGGGCTTACGTGTGAGAACCGTCCCAGCTCGGACAATGAAAAGCCTTACGTGTAAACAATAGAGCTTCTGTTCGCGGAGGTTGTGGAGGAGAGGGGGAGGAGTTGGGGGGAGGGGGGAAGGGGTTGGGGTGGGGGGGAAGGCAACGAGGAAGCAGGGATGGTTGGTTGGCACGTCTGGGCTGAATGGGCGGAAAGATGCGGGTGTGGGGGGGGGGGGAGGGTCAAGGCTGACTGGGCGAAAAGAGGGGGGATGGGGGAAGGCTGACGGGCGCAAGGAGGAGGAAGGGCTGACTCGGCCAATTGAAGGGGAAAAGGGGAGGCTGACTTGGCGTAGGAGGGGGGAGGACGAAAGGCTGACTCGGCGAGGTTTGGTTGGAAGGCTGACTGGGCTCCGCAAGGCTCGGCTTTCCGCGAATGCTTACGGAGCGCACCAAGAAGAGCTGCTCGAGGAGAGAGGGTGTGGCAGGGTTGGGGGGGGCATGACACATGCATGACGCAAGGGGAGGGTGGGCGGAAAGGCATGCGGACGAGATGATGAGCTGGATCGCGGTTCGCCACCGCAGCAGAGTGTAACGGGAGGTCGACATTTCGGGCAAACCAAGCAGGGGAAAAATAAAAACAAATACACCCGCATTCACACCCAAATGAGCCTTTACGTTGAGCTTTGGAGGTAAAGTTTTTTCGGCTGCCTAAATCAGAAATCGCGCATAGATGGGAACCTTCTACGCGCCACGGGCTCTCAACAACCGCGGATCGTCCGTCCGTTCGGGCAAGTGATGTTTCAGCACGTGGCAAGTTTCACGCAGAACATGCACGTGGCCCATATGCTGTCATGCAGCAGGTTCGCTGGCACTCAGGGTGTGTAGCAGGGCTTACTTTTGGTTCTAGTCACCCTTAAAAAATCGGGCCCCTTAAACTTTCACCCTTAATTTTCAGGTTCCAGCAGAAGGCAAAGCTTAATCACTAGGGTTTGTTCGTACAGTACCCTTTTCACTGCCACGGTTAGAATCTACCAGGAGATGTATGGACAAGACAAAAAGGGCGTGAGTAACATGCACGGGGCTGTGAGGGGAGAATGACGAAAATCCACTAAGTGAGTTGTCTCCCCTCTGTTTGTGACAACGAGGTGTGAGTAACGTGCTGTGAGGGGAGAAGAACGAAAATCTACCAAGGGGGTTGTCTCCCCTCTGTGGGTGAAACGAGGTGTGAGTAATGTGCTGTGAGGGGAGAACAACGAAAATCTTCCAAGAGATCTCCCCAGTAACTCTACCAGCACTAGTAGTACATTCATGGTACGAAAATAAAGTACCCTTAATCTCTAGGGCTAGACTTTGAATAAACCCTAAATCCTCCGGGTTCATAAAAAGCCAGCCCTTAATTTGTGGAGACAACTAAAAAACTACCTTTTATTTCACTCAAATTCAAGGTAACAACCCTTGAAAAATAGGCCCTGATGTGTAGTGAATGCTCTGCTAAACGTTTGAGAATGCATATCAGTTTGGGAAAGTATATCGGCGCTCAGTATTAGGGGTCTCGATAACATGTACGGTCAGTAACACAATATAAAGAATCAGAATTAGCTTGTTCGCAACATGATTCATCAGTCAAGTTCCACCGTTAGTCGGAAACTGCAGAAAAATGTTCTACAAATGGTTACTAAAAGTAACCCCCGCACGTCTCGGAACATTTTCCCGCTCGCGCCAACCCAAATTCGTCATCATCGTGGCTAGCGCGATATTTTTCCCGAGCTACAGGCGCAGTTCTAGTGAAAACAATGCAAAATACCCAACTTAAAGTTTATTGGATATCTACTAGTCGAGAAACACTACAACACGATTTCCTTTCGAAACACATACTTTCGTCGCAGAGTGTAGAGCGTCCCGCGATGCTTAAGAATGACGGCTTTGTCTCTACCGCATTTACAGCCCCAAAGAAAAGTCAAGCCATAAACTTGTCGTCATTCCCGAGTCGCTTGAGAACAGAAACATGCATACATAGCTACATACGTTTATTTTTGGGAAATGAATATATTTAAAAACACATCAAGGTACTCTCATAACCACATTTAATTTTGTATTAATTGTAATACAATGAATTTATTAGAAGTCTGTAGTTGTCTTTTAATGATTTTTTTTCAACAAATGTATTTACCGTAAAAGTTTTCCTGCCAAATCACGACTCTCCAAATCACCTCATGCTCGAAACAAATTGCCGCACGCGCACTACATTTGATGTCAACTTATACATATGATGTTATGTAGAACTTATAGGCTACATAGGTTAGGTCCCCCCCCCCACCTGTTTCCGTCCCGCGCCCTAGCCTACCGTGCCTCGCTGGCCCCCAGCGCGCCTGCCGGCCCCTAGTGTGCCCGCCGTCCCCTCGCGCCATAGCTGGCCCCTAGCATGCCCGCAGTCCCCTTGCGCCGTAGCCGGGCCCTAGCGTGCCTGTCGGCCCCTCGCCCCCTAGCCGGCCCCTTGCCCCCTAGCCGGTCCCTTGCGCCCAGCCGGTCCCTTCGCGACCAGCCGGCCCGCCCCTCGCGCCGTCTCCAGCCCCTCGCGCCCTCGCTGGCCCCTCACGCCTTAACGGGCCCCTCGCGTCGTCGCCCGCCCCTAGCGCCCAGTCGGCCCCTTTGCGACCAGCCGGCTTGCCCCTCACGCCCTAGCGGGCCCCTTGTGCCTTCGCTGGCCCCTCGCGCCCTCGCTGGCCCCTCGCGCCGTCGTCCGCCCCTAGCGCCGTCGCTGGCCCCTCGCACCTGACCGGCCCCTCGCACTCCAGCTGGCCCCTCACGCCTGACCGGCCCCTCGAGCCTGACCGCCCCCCTCGCGCCCTAGCTTGCCCCTCGCGCCTTGCCGGACCCTCGCGCCTAGCCGGCCCCTCGCGCCTAGTCGGCCCCTTGCGCCTATCCGGCCCCTACGACCTAGCCGACCCCTACCACCTTGCCGGCCCCTACCACCTAGCCGACCCGTACCATCTAGCCGGTCCCTACCACCTAGCCGGCCCCTTCTCCTGCGCACCTCTGGCCCCACGTGCCATGCCGACCCCTCTCCGCACGCCGGCCCCTTGTGCGCCTAGACTCCGCGCGCGCCCTCCTTGGCCTTCCTTTCGGTTCAGTTCCGAAGAGTCCTGCCGCCGTGCCGCTAAGTCCCTGTACTGCTGTGTCTCTGTGCCGCTGTGTCGATGTGTCCCGGTATCGCTGTGGTTGAGCGATGGCGGATGCCATGCTCCGTCTGGACGCGGAGGGGCACGCGATCGACTTCGTTGCCTGGCTTGTCGATCTCCGCCGACACCTGACAGGTCAGCGCCAGGATGGGCACTCCATGGCTATGTTGATGGCTTGCTTCCTCGCCCTTCCGCCCCTGATCCCCTCCCTGCTGACCCCACCAGTGCTGAGAGTGAGGCCTTTGCTGCTGCTGCGCTCGCTCGCGCTGTCTGGGATTCTCGCGATGCTGTAGCGCAGCTTGCCATTAGTTATGCGCTTCCCCTTTCTGAGCGTCCGCGTTTCACTACCACTGCGAATGCCAAGGATTTCCTAGATGTAGTAGTTGCACGCTGCTCTACGCTTGCCTCCGCCTCAGCTGGCCGCTTGATCCTCCCCATGCTCTTCCCCGATCTCTCTGCTTTCCCCACTGTTGCTGATCTTGCCACTCACCTCCACGCACTAGAGACTAGCTACCGTGCCGCTAGCACTACTGCCCAGCTCAGTGCCTTCCCCCCACCGTTCTGCGCTACCCTGTACCTTATTGTCATGCGCCTCCCTGACCGCCTAGCCACTGTCCGCGACCACTTCCTTAGCCAGCACCCAGGTGACCTCACCCTGACCGCCTTTGTCGCTGCCCTTTCTGAGATAGAAATTCGCCAGCGCACTATCGCTCAGTCGAGCGGTGTTGCGGTAGTCTCTTTCTTTCAGGGCTGTGCTCCCTCCCAGTGTACATACGCGGATGTCTCCGCTGCGGTCGCTATGGCTGCTCCTGCTCCTGAGACCGCAGCAGCGGCCTTCCCCAGCAGCAGCGCCAGCGTCGGGGCCGTCGCGGCCCCAAAGGAGATCTTGGTGAAGTCAGCCCGCAGCGTACCCTTATTCGATCTACCTGATCCTTCATTGCTAGGGGTGTACCATCGACTAGACCTGCTTCGATCTCCGGTAAATATCAAACTCTAAATAACCCATTTTCTTTGTCATGGTAAGGTAGATAAGTTCTACCTCCATCCACGAAAAGTTCTAGTTTTTCTTCTTGAACCCTACTCTTTAAGTATACTGGGTAATTCGCCGTTGTATCCTCCTTATCCACCGCTGCACCCTCCTTAGTCGATGAGGGTCATCGGTTACAGGCGAGCAAGTTGCGTCAGTAGCAGGCCCTTTAGCTACTGACTCTAAGCATTTCCCTGGGTCCTGGAACTACCCTGCCCTTGATTCAGCTTGTTCCGCTCCTCTGGGCATTCAGGTTTGCAATGTCCTGGTATGTTACGCACAAAACATCATCCCTTGAAGATGTAATTGTTGTGTTTGATGGAGTAGCGTGTACAGTGGCATGCTCGATTGGTCCCCGATTGCTATTTCCATCATAGGAACCCGCTCTTGATTTCAATAACAAATCCAACCGCTCTGCAACCCTTTGTGCCTCGAGTGTATTAGTAATATTTTGGATATGAATTTCTCGTCATAACTTGGAGTGAAGTCCACCGATGTATCTGTCGAGCTTCTGGGGGCATGTGGCCGATTTAATTGCATAGTCACTGGAAGGTGACGGTCAGGTTCTGAAACAATCTAAGTTGGTGCCAAGTGCAAAGGCGGTCGCGTGCTTGGTAACTAGCGCTAACGTGTTCGAAGCAGCGACTAATTCCCGCACACCACGATTGCCACGTGCTAAACTCAACCATCTCGCAATAACTTTGACTAGTAATTGGTCGTGCGGAATCGCCCGATCACGCATGGCGTCGTATCCGGCTGCTTGTGCATCTGTATAATCAGCTGCCACCATACTATCGCCGGTCCTCGTTGTAATAACATATCATATCAA